TCTAATAATATGTCAGGATTCTTTTCTCATAACGGTATTAAATTGAATTTAAATTTTGGGGTTTTATGAGGATTTCACATAAAATCAAAAAATAAAATCCTGCCTAATACCTAGTCTCCTTAATATCTAGCCAAGATTGTTGGCTAACCACGGATCGGGACTCGCAAAAGTTTGATTCAATAATTAAACTTTTCCTTATTTTAGGCAAAAGATTTAATCTAAAACTGAACTTCTTACCTTAATTTTATATTATTGGGCCTTAAATCGGTTAATTATGCTTCTGATAGGAATTAAGAATCCACAATTTTCCTAAAAAAATTTTTATTTAAGCCTCTGCAATCCTGGCTATTTGGGTAAAAGATGTGAAAAAACTTGCCCACCTGGAACTTATGGAAAAGATTGTAAACAAACTTGTGGAAAATGTCCTGAAGAACAAATATGTGATCCTGTGGTTGGTTGTTGTACTCCAAATACTGGATATTGTGGATTGGCTTGTATGTGGTTTTTAAAAAAAAATTTATTTCAATTAATTTTTCTTTCCTGTTTTAGTACCTTTGGGTTTAGAATTTTAATACTTAAAAATAAATTTATCGGGATCATATTGTTCTAGAACATGTTAAAAGTGGGATTTAGTTCCTAATGGTCCGGAGAATTTCGGCTCGAGTATTGAATTCAGATATCAGAAGATTTCTCGGGGTCGTAGCCCTAATCAAAAACAAATCATTGACTTCTCAGGTTTTCATCCCAATTTTTTGGAGAGGAAAGTATTATTTAAAAAATCTGCATCTTAATGATCCGGGTTAGCTTCTTTTTTGTAAATTTCTGTATTTTATTATGTGTTGACATTAACATTTTTAAAAGATGCTGAACAACAAAAAACATCAACATCAATTGCTTCTTATGTTTGGATGGCTTTATTAATATTATTTTTGTCTTCTGGAATTTTAATCGTTTTTGTTGTTTATTATCGACGTAAATATCATCATGAAAAGAATCCTCCAGCTGTAGTGAAGTAAATATATTTTTTTATTTAAAAACGATTGGGACAGCTTGCTTATTTGAAAATTAAAAAAATTTAATAAAATTCCAGATCCGAGTGTAAAACACAAATTAAGCCAGAAAAGCTAGATTAGCCAGAAATAAGGATTAGTAGGTTCATGTCAGTGTCTTATTATACCGTATGCTTGTTCTAGTTGTATAGCCGTTTTCAGCTCAAATTTGTCCTGGGAGTTGTCGCGTCTTTTTCAAGTCACGATTCGAACGGCATTTTAAGTCTAATGCTTGCAAATACTCTTCTTTTTTTGAACAAAAATTTTCTTTGCAGATATAGCGGAGATGAATATTTATCTATTAACGGTGTTGGAGGGACAACAATAAATAATAACATAAATGGAAGGGAAGGAGATGATGGGGGTTTTACAAATAGACTTTTTGACAATCCAGAGGCCCGAGATTCTGGTATTATTGATAACGATTTGGCTATATTAGCACAAAAAGAAAAGGCAGAATCTATGCAGATGCGTGGAATGATGAATAATAATAATAGAGTTGAAAGTTGGTTTATTTTAATTTAATTAAATTTTTTGGGAAGGTTTTAAACTAATTAATTTGGAGGTCTGTTTTTATCTTCGCCATCTAATTCCTTTTTCATTTAGACCGATCTGCTCCTTGTTTGACTAATAATAATAAACTAATTAAGGTCCTTCTGATAATGACGAGATTTCTTGGGTAGCCCCCGTCCCCGACTATTTTTTTTGGCAAAAACCCCGACCCGAACCCAGAAAGCTCTACCCCGACAGAGCCCGAAACCGACACTCTCGTCCCCTAAAGCTCATGGTGCTACCCTCGACTGCCTTTGCTAAACATCTGACCCAACGGTTAATTTCTTTATTTTACTTTGAGAACGGACGGGGGGATGTCATACTAAAATCGATTTAAAAACTAAGTTTTCGGTAACCAAAATATTTTTTTACATCTCTCGGTCTAATCTCCAATTTTAACCATATATTTAATTTGTTTTTCTTTTAACAGATATTTATGCAACAATGGATGATATGGAAGATGAAGTTGGTTATGCTACTTGTAGTGATACTACTTTTAGACCAAAAACCTCCACAACTCCTTCATATATTCAAAAAAATAATAATTTAAATGGTGGAACAAAACTTTTAATTAAAGATTCGAGTACGCCTTTGCTTTCTTCTTGTAAAAATTCACCTTCATCTTCTTCTCCTTCCTTTAATAAAAATAATAAATTAAATTCAAAACTGGATGAAGATGAAAATAATTTGGACAAAAATACTAATGGAGGCGGTATTTACTAACAAAAATTTTTTTTTATTTTTTACTAACAATTTTTTTAATCAATTTTTTTAAAAATACTAACACAAAGGGGAATTTTTCTAAAAAAATTTTTTTTCTTTGGAGATTGCCTATATTCTCCTCTCTCCTTTCTTTCCGATATTTTTTCTAATTAAAAAAATTTTTTTTCTATCTTATATTAAAAATTGGATATTAAAATTTAATTTTCTTTAAATTTAACAATGGAAAAATTATATTTTTTTAATTTTACGCTATTTAGGAATGGGCAGTTTTTAATTAAATTTCTAAATATATTTTCTAACTTCGCCCATCCCCAAATTAATTAATTTCATTTTATTTTTCCTTAAAATTTAACTACTAATTCTCTCTTTTATCTGTCTTTCTTTTCTGTTTTGTCTTTTTAATCTTCTAAATATATTTTTAAAAATTTTTAAAAATTTTTCTCTGATTTTTTAAAGGTCGGAGTAGGTATTTTATATTATTTGATCAAATATTTTTTTATTTTTTTTCTCAAAATTAATTTTAATTTTACAAAAAAATTTTATCTTAAATTTTTTTAAATTTTCAGAACATTCTGATCAAGAAAATGCTTATGAATTACCTCTATCCAATACACAAATGAGAATGAAAAGGTTATAAAAACTTTGAAAGAATTTTTTTTTATTTTTCTGTAGCCATGAGAAGGACAACAATCAAATTAAATTAACATTTTTATAAATTATTTAAATATACAGTCGGACCTCATTTATTTGTGCATCCTTGGGCGAGAGCCGAGAATGTACATACATGGGAACTAGCCGACAAAAAACAGAATTCCCGATTTTCGGAAATCGGAATTCCCGCCCAAAAAACGTCGGGAATTCCCAATTTTCAAGAATCAGGACGGCTCGTTCCCTGGTATACACACAAGTGAAATTTATTACTTAATTTGCTCCTCAATAAATTAGTCAATAAAAAATAAAAATAAGTAAAGTCCGATTGTATTTTACATTGAGGGGTTCTAATTTATAATAATTTTTTGCCTAATTTGTGATATTCGATAATTTAATTTTTAAATTTAGATTAGAATCCCTCCTTTCCCCATATAATTTTCTATAATTTTTCCCTAAATTCTTGTAAAGTCTCATCTACCTAAAAAGCTAAATATTTTTATGTGGAATTTAAATTACCGTAAATATCCTTATCCCTTAGAAGCACACCTCCAACGAGATTCATTGCAATAAACGTTCAGGGTTTTTATTTGGATATTTACGGTTATACAAAAATTTTTATATATCTAATCTGTGTCTTGTCTAGAATCAAACCAAATTTATTGCCATTTTAAATTATAATGTATACTTTTCCTTTAATTAAAAAATTAGTTTTTTTTCACATTTAAAGTTTATTTATTTGCCTTGTTTTTACAAAATATTAAATAAATATGTAAATATATTTTTAAAAAATTTTTTTTTGAGAATGAGTTAGGTATATTTTAATTTTAACTGAATATTTTTTAAATTTATTATGCAAATTGACTCGAATTTGTCCCTTGATTTTGGGTAATCTTGAAAATATCTATTTTTAGAGGTTCTTGACCGGAAGAGGGTCTGTTTTAATTTTTGTCTTCTTAAGGTTTAAATTTATTTTGCTGTTGTTAAAGTTGTTGGCTGAGTGGTTAGTGTTTTGGTTTTTGAGGGGAACGTGTTGAAGGTTCGAATCCATTATATCTTGCTAATGAAGATAAACACGACGGTCTTCTGAAATAAATTACTTAATGTTGTAAAAAACGTTTTTTCCGAAGCAAGAATAATTTTTTTAAAAATATTTTTGATTAAAAAAATTTTTTATTAAAAAAATTCTCTTTTTAGTTTTTAGTTAAAAGTCGGTGGTTTAGTGGTCTTTTTAGTTATGTTCTTCGTCGATTTTACGTCTCTTTGACATCCGAAAGAAAAAAAACTTATAAAGCTAAAAAGAGGTAAATAATCTTGCAAATACATTATTGAAAACCCAAATCCAAAGTAATTGATTCTAGAATAGTGACAATTTTAAATATTTCCCCTTTCTGACCATTTTGGCTGTCTGTGCATTGTAGAGATATCGTTATTTTTCAGCGCTTGGGCATTTTTTCGCTTTTTTAAAGAGAACTAAAGAGAAGTCATTCAAGCAGAGAAATGAAAATGAATGAGAGAAAGTATAAACATTTTTGTTCTTTACACTCTTTTCTTTAAAATTTCTTTTATTTTATGCAGCGTCTGAAATTTATTCTTATTTTTTGCTTGTATATTTTACTTTTGTTGCAGTCTCCGGTTTAATTACCCAGGTTTGAGGTACTAATTGTATTTGCCCTGTAAAGGTGGCAGCTTGGATAAATTTTGGAATTGCTTTGCCTTTTGGTGAGGTTTAAAAATAAGTAATGTGAATTTTTGAACACGGAATTTAAATCGGGATCCCGTAAAATTTCGTGCAGAACTGATCCCGTGCTGCACTCTAGCCGATTAGCTCCTGATAAAAATAGTTTAGGATATCCCCATAATCCCTTCTCTTTTGCTAGTCGAATATTTTTTCAGTGGAATTTTTATTTTGCACATTAAAATTTGAGAATTTTGATTTTCAATAAAAAATTTGTATTTAATTCATTTTCAACCAAAAATCAACACAATTTACAAATATCAAAGATTGAAGGAAGGAAAATATTAATTTCTACAATTTACAAATTATTATATTCTTTTTTACATCTATTCTCTCAACATCTTTCATTACTTCTACAAATTCTTTTATTCCTCCGAGCCTTCCTCTCCCTCGGCTGCTTCTTCCTTTCCTTCTTTTTTCTCTTCTTCATTTTCCTTCTTTTCTTCATCAGTTTTTGTCTCTCCAGTTGTATCATCACCACTAATTGCTGTCTTTGCCCCTCCTCCTCTTCCTTCCTTGTCCTCTACGGGCGATTCTTTTGCATCTGGTGCTGCTGCAGTCTTTGTAGCTCCACTGAAAATTTTTTTTGAGAAATTTTTACAGAATCTTTTCCCCATACCTTCCCTCTCCAGGCACAGCTGTCTTTGCATTTTCAAATCCTGCCTCATCATCTTCCAGTTCATCTCTAAGCACAGCTGTTTTCATACTACCCCTTCCACCAGCAGCAGACCCACTCCCCAAACGTTTGCTTACTTCTACCGCTGTTTTTTCCTTTACTGAAATTGCCGTGTCCTCAGATCCGGGAGCATAAGAAAAGAGTTCGGTTCCTGTTCCACGCGCCGTTTCCATTTCATCTCTAAAAATCGGGAAAAGTTTAGAAAAAGTTTAAAACAAGTTTTTCTTACTCTTCCTTCTCTTCTGTCTTCGCTTCACTTTCAGCGCCTTTTAATTTCTTGCCAAGTTCAGAACCTTCAGTCTTGGACGAACCACCATCGGATGCGAGATCCTGCCTCTCCAAATCTTTATCATCTTCAGGATTCTTTTTCCTTAGCATACAACAGCAGACAAAAATAGCTACCAACAGGAGAACCAAGAAAATGATGACGCCAATTAGGGCGAGATTGCCACTACTTTCTGTACTTGCTGCAACTGTTGTTGTTGTTTGTGCACTTGATTTGATTTCCTCGCTTGGTGGTCCGGTCTGTTGTCCTATTGGGTCGGTTGACGGTTCAATTGGATCTGTGGTCGTTTCATCAGTTGGCGGCGCTGTTGACGTATCTGACGGTTCCGGGGGCGCATTACTTGTTGGATCCCAAGTAGCATTGTTTGGTGGAAAACTAAGAAAAGAAAATTAGTCATTGAAAACTTTGTTCGTTTATTTTACCTTGTCTGGTTATTAAAACTCCCATTCAAAGAAGGTTCAGCCGGTGTAGATTCAACAGACCTGAAATATGAAAAAGACTAGTCAAGAAATCAAATTTATCGAAGTTCTTACGTTGTGTCTGAGCTGCCACTTTCTGGATCTTCGGCATCCTCCCCCTGAACTTCAGATCCACCCTCTTTTATCTGACCCCGTTGAACTTCTTTTCCATCCTCTTTGCTCTCGTTCTCAGGTGGTTTGACCTCTTCACTTTGATCTTCATCTTCTTTCTCTTTGTTCTCGTTCACAGGGTTTTTGGCTTCTTCCTCATTCTCAGGGGGGTTTCCCTCCTCCTTCGGAACTTCGGCCCCATCTTCTTTGCTCCCGTTCTCAGAGGGGCTGGCCTTCTCCTTTTGAACTTCGGTTCCATCTTCCTTAGCCTGATCCTCGTTCTCGGGATTTTTGACGTCGTCGGCTCCACCTTCTTTGTCCTCGTTCTCAGGAGCGACATTTTCCTTCTGACTTTCATCTACATCCTCCTTGTTCTGCTCTTCATTCTCGGGGCTTTTGACCTCCTCCTTTTGAACTTCAACACCCTCGTCAACTTCAACTTTCGATCCATCGTCCTTTGTCTCATCATTCTTGGTGGAATTGTCTTGCTGCACCTCTACTTTGCTGGCTTCTTCCTGTTCATGTCCATCGCTCTGAAACCCGTCTCCCGTTGTACTGCTCTGTTGACTTTGCTCTGTGTCATTGCTATAAAATACAATTTAGACTTTTATAACAAGAAATTTTTTGTTACTTACTTTGCATCGCAAAACGTGGAGAGGAGTAGCAACAACAAACAGAAAGAGATTCTGCTCCTAGACATCTTTGTAGAACGCGGAGAAACTGTCGTTGATAAAAGAGTGAACCGTTGTTGAAGACTGTTTGTTATGGAAACGATTGGTGGCTAAATTAAAAGATTCTTTGCTTTTATAGTAAATTTAAAGTGATTTTGTTGGGATTTATAATTCGAAAACTTTTGACAAGCTTAATCCTTTACACAACTTTATCTTTCTACTTCTTCCTTCGGTAGTCACTTTTCTGGGCACTTCCAACCAACTCGGCCCGTAAGCCAAAGAAAACATTCAAATACAAGTTCACACCTTTTCATGTCGTGCAAGTTAAACAAATCCTCATTTCTAAACTAAATTCTGGTTCTTTTGAAAAATTTTTTCATATTCTTTTGATGATCAATTTGTCTCAATATAGTTCAATAGTCATTACTAGGGCTAGGATTTTTAGGCACTAAAAAGTCAAAAATAGGCGCCTATATAGGCACTAAGAAACTGCCAAAATAGGCACCTAATTTCGAAAAAAGGCAAAATAGGCAAGCAAAATATACAAAATTTTTTAAAATTTGAGCTAGATCTGCAAAAATATCGACTAAAATCTATAAAAATGGTTGGATTTAAGCAATAAACTGTTAAATAAATTAATTTTGACGATAAGAATATAAATTTATAAAATAATTTATATTAATTATTTTGCTTCCGAAAATAATTTGAATAAATTTTTAAAATAAAAATTTTTTGACAAAAAAATTTTCGAAAAAATTTTTTTTGAAATATAAATTTTACCAAAACTAATTTTTAGTCAGCAAATTTTTCAAAAAAATGCCCAAAAATTGCAAATTTTTGTAAAAATATGCAAAATAGGCTGAAAAAAGGCAAAATAGGGCACTTTTTCGGAAAAAGCCAAAATAGGCAATTTTAGGCAACGATAAAATTAGTTAGGAAGAAGATTTCAGTAAAATAACACCTGATTTGGACGTTTCAGCATCAGGCCTGTTTAGGAAAAAAACAGGCATTTTGCCTAAAATCCTAGCCCTAGTCATTACATACATACATACCAGGGGTGGCGCTCGTCTCGTATCTCGTGAAATCTCGTGTCTCGTAATTTTGGCACCCCCAGTGCTCAAATTCCAGTGCTTTAAAGTTTTTTCCTTTTTTTCTAAATGACCTCCAAAAACTTTTATTTACAACTTGATAGAAGATACATATTTGTTTATTTTCATTAATTAAAATTATTTTTTGTTTCTTGGACTGTTCTTTGTATTAATGACCTAAATTTTTCTCTCTTATATTAAAAGTGAAACATAAAAATACAACCATTATGTTATACTAATTTATTTATCTGCTTTTCATATTTACTCCAAAAACCCCAAAAATTATTTTTAAAGAAATTTTAAATGTAAAAATATTCCTCTTTAAAATTCTGAGTTTTGTAATTAATGCCTATCGGAATCTTTGCTAATGCTTTAATTTATTAATTTGAAAAATAACAGAACAATTCTTAATTGTTAATATTGTCGAAGCTCGTTATAGAGTTTTTTTGGTCATTTACCATTTACTCCCAACAAACGACTAACCACATTTAAGAACCTTAATTCAAATGAGTTAATTAATCTCGTTATATTATACTAATGTAAGCTTTGATTATAATAACAAACTATACACCAGGGATCGCGCCGACCCGATTCACGATTCCCGAAACTCGTGAATTCCCGACGATTTTTGGCTCGTGAATTCACGATTCACGAAATTCGGGAATTCGAAATTTTCGTGAATTCACGATTCCCGAAAATCGGGAATTTGATTTTCTGTCGGCGCGTTCCCTGGTACAGGAGAGGTCCAGGTCCAGCTCGATCTCTATTGGGAGTTATACATATTATAACAGGATTCAACTACATATAATTAACAATTTATAGAGTCGTAAAAGATTTTTTTGGTGATGAATTTTCTGGACAGCCAACATAATTTTGAGTCTATTAAAATTTTACATTAAAAAATTTTTTTTTCAATTTTTAAAACAAATATACTATTTAATCGATTATCTCTCATCTTTTTTTTCTATTTGTTCTGATCACATAAATAAATTTTTTTGTTTTAGTCTATTAAAGCCTACAAATGACACACACTTTACATTTTTAAATATTTTTTTCTATTTTTTCTCCCTTTAGTTTAAAGTAGAATGATTAATTTGTGTTGTTTTTACATTTTTTGGAGTGAATTATAAATTAATTTTTATATGTTTTCGGTGAATTGTCCTTATTCCAGACAATTCACCGACTAATTTTTTCGGTGAATTGTCCTTATTCCAGACAATTCACCGAATAATTTTTATATCGCCAAGTACTTTGTTCTTTTACTTTTTTATTTACTTCCTGTCTGATTGGTGCAATCTAAAATATGAAAAAGGAAAAGGATTCTTTTTTATCATTTTTATCAAAAATTATATTAAAAAATAAAAAAACCCGCACTTGCTAAATTTTTTTCTTTAAAAATTCTTCTCCACACTTGTCCGCAAATTTTGTCCGCAAATTTTCTAAAATTATTTAAATTTTATTTTCTTACTTTTTTCAGTGTTTTTTTTTTATTTTTCTGATTTTTCAATTTTATATTTCATTTGCACTTTTATTTGGTAATTCTTCGGTTGTCGCCCCCCCCCTTTTTTTATGTTCTATTTTTTTTACATTTTCCATGAAATTTCTATGAACTTTTATATACATTCGAAAGAGCACTTCGAGCTGAGTCGGACGGCACTAGAATCGTCGAAATCTGAATTAAATCAACATAGTTATGAGCAATTGTTTTAATCACTTTCAACATCACAAAAAACATGTCCACAAAGGATTTAGCTTCATAATTTTGTTCAAAATTGCCAAATCTAATCGATCATAGTACCAATCAACTCAGCTCGGATAGCTCTTTCGAATAATATAGAAATTATTATATGTCAAAACAAAAAAGCTCAAAATGGTCAGGGAAGCATAAAAGGGGGGCGACAACCGAAGAATTACCCTTTTATTTTTTAAAATTATTTTTAATTTTTACAAATATTTTTATAAATATTTGTTTACTACATTACTTTTCCTTTTTATTTTTAATTTTCTCATAAATGTTAAAAATTAAATGATTAATATAAATAAAAATTATTTAAAAGGAGAAGAATAATAGTTTAATTGTTTTTATTTAAAAATAGAGTTTAGCCTTTTTAAATATTTTTTCTTTTTAATTCGGTAATTGTCCGCAAACTTTGTCCGCAAGTTTTGTCCGCAAATTTTTTAAAATTAAAATTTTTAATTTTTTTTTTCAGTAATTTATTTTATTTTGTAAAAAATGGATAAAAATGGAGGAGAAAGTAGTAATCAACAACAAAATAACTATCAACATTCAAGTCAAAGAAAAACTCGATTTTTAAGAGGCAAGAAGACAGCAGCAAGTCATCAACTTCCACTTAAAGCTAAAGTTGTTATGTTGGGAAATATGGGTATTTTTGGATATTTTAATTAATTTTTTGTTTAGAAAAATTTTTAAAAATTATTTTCTAAATCAAAAAAATATTTTCTTTTTTTTTAAGGTGTCGGGAAAACCTCAATTTTACTTCGCCACGATGGCCAAGGATTTACTAGCAAATTAAGTTCTACTCAAGGAGCCTTTTTTATTTGTTCACGCCCGTTAGTTTTTATTTATAATTTCTTTTTAAAATTTTCATTGCATAAAATCCGCAAGTTTTGTCCGCAAAAATTTTTTTAGAATTTGCGGATTAAATTTGCGGACATTTTATCCAAACATTTTTTTAGAAAAATAAATGATGGTAGAGAATTTGAATTACAAGTATGGGACACTGCCGGGCAGGAAAGATTTCGTTCAATGGTTTTTCTTTAATTTTTAACTTTAAAAAATTTTTTTAATTTAAAAGGTTCCCCTTTATTTACGCAATACTGCTGCAGCTCTTGTTGTCTTTGATATAACAGATCGTCAATCTTTTAGAGAATTGGGTTTTTGGATTAAAGGTTTTTTATTTTTTAATTGAAAAATAAACTTGTTCGAATTTTGACAAAACGGTCAGGTCCCAAAATGGTCAGAAAATTGGTTTCTTCAGGGCGCCTGTGTTGTTGACCACTTTCTCGTTTGGAAAAGACGCAGAAAAACTGACCAGCGGTCGGTTGCGGTCAGAGAAACGTCTTGTTTTCTGCTCTAATCTCAAAATTTATACAACTTTCTGTGCTTTCCAAAACAGGAGAGCGGCTCCAAAAAGGGTTATTAAATAATTTTTTATTTTGCCCGAAATATAAAATTCCGGTTGAATGACCATTCAAGTCACTGACCATTTTGTCCACTGACCATTTTTAAATTTTAAAGTTTTGGAGCATAATTCAGAATATAGCAATATTTTATTATTTATTATTGGAAATAAAAGTGATTTAAATGGAGAAAGAAAGGTTAGTGTACAAGAAGCTATTAAATTTGCTGAAGAACAAAATGCTAAATATTTTGAAACTTCTGGTAATTTTTTTTAATTTTAAAATAAAAAATTGGATTTTTTAAAGCTTTGAATGGTCGAGGAATTGAAACAGCAATGCAAGCAATTGCCGAAAGTATTTTAATTGAGGTTTTGTTTACATTTTTAAATTAAAGTTTTGGGTAAAGTATAAATTTACTAAAATCCGCAAAAAAATTTTTGCGGACAAAATTGATGTCCGCAAGTTTTTGCGGACAAAGTTATTGAAGGCTTTGGAATTGCGGATTAATTTTGCAGAAAGAGATAGGGAAATCTTCTTTTTCCTTTTATCCCCCTTTTTTCTTGGAGGAAATTTGCCTTGAAAGAACCCCAAGAAGGGAAAGAGATTAGAATCTTTTTTAATTGAGGGGAAATCTCTTTTCTTTTTCTTTAAAATTAGGTGGTGTTGAGACGGTACTTTATTAATATCCCGCCCCCACTCCTATTTGAGTCTCAAATTAATTTTCTTTTTTTTATTGCAAATCCTTTTTCCTCCAAACATTTCAGGTAGAAGGCTAGTATTATGAAGGAGAAAATAGTCCGGTAACCGAAAAAATCAGCCTTACGGCAAAATTTAACATTTATAAAGAAGGAAATTTGACCATTCAGGGGTAGGAAAATAAAAAGGGAAATTAATCTGAGACTCAAATAAGGGGGGCGGAATATTAATAAAGTAATAATTAATAATCTAAAAAAATCTCTTCCTTTGACAACAAAAACGATTAAAATAATTTTTCTCTTTTTTAAAGTCAGAAAACCGTTCTTCCTCTTCCAATTATTTTGGTTCTTCATTTAATTTATTACCTTCAGAAAATGGAGAGGATAATGAAGAAGAAATAAAAAATAATAAAATTATTAAACAACAAAAGAAACAAAAAAATTCTTTTAATTTAATTAGTTGTTGTAGTATTTTATGAGAGGGAAATGAAGGGAAAGAGAGGGGTTTATTCAAATTGAGCGTATCGTTCTTTCAAATTTTAATTTTTTTTTTGCAATTTATTTGTGCCTTTTATTTTTTTAATTTATTAAAATTAATTTTTTGGTATTTTTTCTTTCTTTTTATAAAAATCCGCAAAAATTTTTGCGGACAAAAATTTTTTGTCCGCAAGTTTTTTGCGGACAAAATTTCTAAGGATTTTGGAATTGCGGATTAATTTTGCGGATTTCTAATAGATAAAAGAAAAATGTATTTTTAGAGAGTACTGTACAATTACGGTAGCTAGTTGAAAACATTTTAAGCCTAATTACATTATCTTGCTTCGACTGTTTAAAATTAAATTCTTTACAGACATCCATTAATTCCATATAAACGAATAATTTTTCCAAAATATTTTAAATGATCGCCAACTTGGAAATGAACAAAATATGCATTACTAGAAAAGAAAAAATTTTTGATAAAATTTTTAAAAATTAATTTTTGCCTGCAATTTTGGTCTTCCCCAATAGGCACTCCGTCACAAATTTTAAATAAAGAATTATTTAAATTCATTTCTTCTGTTGGATACCAAATTTCTGTTGGGTGGTGAAAGGGGCCGTGAGCGTGTAGAGGGATACATCTACAGAAATTTTGATTGAAAAAATTTTCAAGTTTCATTACTTGTGTGGTCGTCTTAGTCTTTCGTAGCAATAAGGAATGTGTGGCACCAAATCTGAATTAAAAGCCGTTATTATTTTCGTGTTCCTAATGAAGTATTGACCATTCTGTCCTTAAAAGGATCTTGATTTCTTATCAAGGTTCGACCCTTATGTCCTTAAAATAATATGACCATTTCGTTACTAAGAAGTTTTGACCATTTTGTAATAGATATATTTTGACCATTTCGTCCCTATTAGGTTTAGACATTTTGTCCCTAATTGGGGTTGAACCGTTTTGTCCTTAAATACTCTATTTGACCACTCTTTATTTTCTACAGTATTTCAAAAGTATTTTAAAAATAACCATATCTATGCACAATTCTAAAAGAATTTGGAACTAGCCGTCGATGTAATTTTGCATATTCAATATTTCCAACTCGTGGCTGGCCAAACGTAACTAACAGCAATTCTTTAGGCTAAAAATATTTTTTTAATCTAAAGTCCATTAGAGTCTGGAAACTAGGGGAAAAGAGAAACTGTCCCCCACAAAACCCAGACTCTATTGAACAAATAAGTTGCCTTTATTGTCCGATTATTTTCCATTGCAAATTGGGCACTCGCCAACGAAGCAATAGCTCCACCTAGAGAATGTCCAGTAAAGAGAACTTTCAATTTTGGATAAGCCTAGAAAATGAGAGGAATATTTTTTAAATAAATTTTGGGAAAAACTTTTTTCAATTCTGCCAATTTTGTACCAAAACCGGCATTCCAAATTGCCTGAAGAGACTCATAAAAATAATGCTGAACAGAACCGCCTGCTGGGAATTCCTTTTTGGGGGCTAAAAGGAGTTAAAAATTTTTTTCCAAAATTTATTACCAGTCATCGACTCAATAATTTCGACAATTAATTGTGTTTGTGTTTGGGTACCACGAACACTAAATATAATAAAATGCCTTGAAATTGCAATAAATGCCCAACACTTAAAAAGTGGGAAAATAATATTTTCTTGGGCTTTTTTAAGAGAAAATTCACCTCGTCTCTAAAAGCATCACAAGGCACTTGAACACGCAAAACAAGTTTAGCTTTATGTTTTTCTAAACAAGGGCTTGGATCAGGTGAATAGGCAGCTGCGGCAAAATCTAGAGAAGGAAGGGTTAACCAACTTCCATAATTTACTGTCCAATTGTTTTTGGGGGAATCGGAGGGAGAATAAAAATCGAAATCAGAATAGTGAATGTCAGATATTTTGTTAGACAACACCAATTGGGGTAAAAATATTAAGAGAAGCATCCTAAAATGTTTTAAAATTTTTAGAATGTTTTATAAAAATATTAAAATTAATTTTTACTTAATTTTTAACTTAAATGAAAAAATAAAAATCAGTTTTCACCCAAAAGGGTTCGAACCAGGTTACCCAATGGTCACCGAATCTAAAATTTACCCACTACACCACCACCAACTAATGTTATTATAATTAAAAGTACGAGTTAAACTAAATAAAGAGTAACATTTTTCTAATTTATTTTCTCACATAAGCATATGATAATGACGAGAAAGCAAAATTTAATTATAGAAGGAAGATAAGAAAATAAAGTGAATGAAGTAAATTCCATTATGCTAAACCCTACAATCGAGGAAATTTTTCCTATAACAAAAATATTAAAGTTTAATTGACCTTTACTTTAATTTTCCTATAAACTTGAAGCAATTGAAAAGAAATGGAAAGAAAAAATAAACATACAACAATAAAAACTTAAAAAAATAATAATATTAGTCACAGACAGACCCCATTATAAGATAACCCAGTTTATGATACTAACATGTCAATTTAAGATAAGGTTTATTTCAAATTTGTTTAACCGCTAGATGTAAAGAAGGCTCCAAGAGATACCCTCCTATTTAGGACACGCTCACTATAAGATAAAATCTTTCAGCCCATGGGTGTTGCATCTTATAAGTGAGGTCGGATATAGTGTAGTGTACCGGTGGTAAAAGTTCGGGACGTGACATATGTCATTCGATTCGTCTCGACGAGCTGAGTCGAACGGTACCACTCCCTACTTTAGGAAATAATTCTGGACCGAGTTATAGGTCCCGAAAAATCGAAAAACCAAAGGGTGGACCAAGCACATTTTTGGGGTGAAAAATTCGAAAATGCAAATTATACCTCATTCGAAAGAGCTCGTCGAGCTGAGTCGAATGACACCAAAATCAGCTTGATTGAACAAGTTTGAGTCGAGATATAGGGCTCGAAATGGTCAAAAACCATAGGGGGGATTTTATGGTCAAAAATTCGATTCCACAAATGTTAGCTCATTCGAAAGAGCTCGACAAGCTGAATCGAATGACACCAAAATCATCGTGATTGGACAAGATTAGACAAAGTTATGACACCAAAAAACAAAACACCTAAACCTATGGAGCGTCGGCGAGGCGCTTGTGCAAAACCCCGCGCTTCGCGCGGGGTTTTGCGGCACGCCCCTCGCGGGGAGTCTACGGGCGGTGGGTCTGGGCTCGTAACATAAACCTATTCCTATCTCCCTTGCTCTAGACGTATTTGGGGCCTCCGTAGCAGCAAAAATCTCCACAAATGACATAGGTAAGGAGCTAAAACAAACGGTCATAACTTTGTCAAATCAAGTCGGATTTTGTTGATTTTGGTGTCATTCGACTCAGCTCGACGAGCTCTTTCGAATGAGGTATAATTTGCATTTTCGAATTTTTCACCCCAAAAATGTGCTTGGTCCCCCCTTTGGTTTTTCGATTTTTCGGGACCTATAACTCGGTCCAGTATTATTTCCTAAAGTAGGGAGTGGTACCATTCGACTCAGCTCGTCGAGACGAATCGAATGACATATGTCACGTCCCGAACTTTTACCACCGGTACACTACACTACAGCCGTGAGGTCAATCCAAAGGTAGATAAACATATTCTACCAATTTGTGATCCTCTATAAAGAAGACTAATTTTAGAGCAAAATTTTAATAGGCACAAATCATTAAAAACGAGAAGAAAAAAATTTTTTATTAAAAAATTATCCATCAATTATAATTCCCGCCGCAATTGTTTCACCATTAGAGCGAAGAGCCAACCGCCCCAATTGTTTATTTTTGTTAAAAGATTCAACAGAAATGGCTTGTTCAGTTTTAATTTCAACTATAGCAGATACATTACGAGGCAAAAGTCTGTTGAAAAAAAGAAAAAGAAATATTATTTTGTGAGGTCTAATTGAAATTTTCCCCAAAAATATTTTTTTCCCAAAAATACAAAAATACTTTCTACCTCGGATTTTTCTTTTCCAATTCTTTAGATCCAGGATGTATTGAATTTAATTTGCTAATTACACAAGGAACACGTAAAGAATGAACAAAAAGTTCTGCATGCGCCCCTCTCAAAATAGGCATTCGAATATCAAAAGTAACTAAACGAGCAAGAAAACGTTGGCAAGGATGTAAAAGTTCCTTTGAAAAAATTAAAATTTTTTTAGAAATATTTTATAAAAATATTTTGAATTTTTTTAAATAGAAAATCTGAAATTTTTGGCCATAGTTTAGGACCCTACTAATCAGATACCTTTTTGGACTGAAAATTGTATTTTATAATAAAGTGTTTTATCTAGGGGATATCGCCTATTTGTTATACAGCTTTCCCCAAATTCAATAGCCAAATAAATTAAAAAAAACCCTATGTTAAATTGAGGTATATATAATATTTAGTGTAACTTGTGAAGTCTGACTTATATTTTATACAATTTAATATAACCCCGAGACAATAAAGTTTACTGCCCAAATATTAAATATGGTCCTTATTTCAAATGTTTTTTATCCGTAAATGTTAAGATAGTATTTTTGTAAATTTTTTAAAACTCTTCCGAAAACATTTAAAAATAAAAAATAAAATTATAGACTTACTGTCCCCCCTCTACAAAAAACATTTCCAGGATAAACAGAATCGGGTTCAAAATTTCCACTTAATGTAAGAGTTATTTGATCTCCCGCAAAACAAATCTTTAAAAAATATAATTTACAATTGTTTTGATACATTTTCGCTATCTTCCCCCATTCACCTTTCCCTTACCTTCTTAGTAAGAAGGTAAGGAAAAGGTTATGATGAACGATGTCATTCGTCCATCTAGTCTTTAAATTAATCCTGAATCACAAGTGATATGGAATATTTGGAATAGAAAGGGAAGGAGAGAAGAAAATGGGAGTAGGGGGAAGATAATGGAAAAGTAATAGTCTCAAATATTATAAACCTGTTGATCTGTTGGCGGTGAAATATTTTTTGATGATTGAGAAGTAGACGAAGAAGAGTCATCAATTGATAAGGCTAAAATAAAAAAACTTTTTTTAAATCATTTTTATTGAAATTCAAGGTGTAATAAGAAAATTTAATTAAGGAGAAGTCAACAGAAAAACTTTGTAATAGTTTTTTTGTCTACCTCTATTTCATTTTCCTCGTTATTTTACCTACTTACTTTAAAGCAATTATCAAAAAACGTTATATTCATTTGAAAAAAATATAGACAATAAACGTAACTATTGTAAAAAAATCTAAGGACAAAGGCAATAGTTAAAAAAAATTTGAGAAAAGTTTTTAGAATTTTATCAAATTCTGAAGGCGCCCCTGACCGCACTTATAAACGGCTAACAAAAAACAAACCCCCCAACCCACAAACCTTTAACAACAACAGCAATCGCTTCAGGCATCAAAAACAATTTATCACCCGTCTCTACATGCCCTCCCTCAACTTTTGCACTAACACAAAGTATTGTAGGAGAAGTACGGAGAATATCATTAACGACAATTCTAAGGGGTTGTTCGGCTGTTGAAGTTGATGTAATTGGTAAAGAATCTAAATTCAATGTAAATTAGAAAAAAAAATTTGTCTAAAATAGGAAAAAATTCTAAAAGGTTAATAATCGTAAAATTGGGGCCGTAAAAGAAGAATAATGAAATCAACAAAATAGGAAGTCCTAAAAATATTTTTAAAGATTAATTTTAATGAAAGTAAAAAAATAGAGATAAGAAACCAATGGTTAACACTAGAAGCTAAAAAATTGTATCTTATAACGAAGTGTTGTGAAATAGAGGGTATCACATAAATAGGGGCAGCCCTTCCTATGCATTGGGTATATATTATAGCTAATAGAGATCGAGATTTTTGAAAAGCCACGACCTGTTTCTGGACCGTGGGGTTTGGTTTATTGACCTGGGCCGGATCCTGGGCCTGTAGTCCAGTAAAGACCCAGGCCCAGAAAAAACCCAGGAAGGTCAAAAAATGCCTGGGCGTAAACTCAGGGTACAGGAAAACCACAGATCTTGATCGAGGTCCAGCTCGATCTCTAATACCTAAGTCGATTTTAAACTTAAAAATGTGTTTAACCAAAATTTAAAAAATTAAATTAAACAAAAAATACCCAAAGCTTCAACAAGTGTGGGGCAATCCTTCCCAAAATACCAAACAGCCAAAGGATGATCAGATGGTGGACATTTAACCAAATTAATTCCAAAAAGTCCAGAAACAGGCACAAATTGAACAAATTCAAATCCAGTACGTTTTTGAAGAAAAACAGAAAGAATAGAACAAAGTTCATCATAACGTTCTTTGGACCAATCAGCAGTGTCTAATTTGTTTACAGCAACAATTAAGCGGCTAACACCTTTTTTAAATAAAAAAAAATTAAAAAATAATTAAAAATATTCTAGAAAAATTCGAGACGGGGTTCAAAGGAGAACTTTTAGAGTGTTCGAGAATTAAAATAAAAAAATAGAACTGCAAAATTTTGAAAAAATATTTTTCAAATTAAAATTATTTTTATTTATTTATTTAACAACATGTGTGTGTCAGTCAAAAAATAAAACAATTTGAAGATTTTTTTTGACCCAAGGAAGAATCTGAAAAACAGGCAAGATATTTTCTCGAACCATCATAACTCTAGTAGATAAATTAAGGAATTAAGTTCTCAGCCTACAAAAAAGCTCTCAACCCCCAAAATTAACATCGAATAATTAAAATAAACAGAATCTGTTTGGTTCTAGTAGGATAGTTACAATCTAATAAACATCAAAATAGTCGAAAATGTACCAAATAAAATTCAAAAACAATTATTTACCAAGCGCTCTAACAAGCAACGCATGTTCTCGTGTCTGACCGCCCTGATCAAACCCCGTCTCGAATTCTCCACGTGTTGAATTCACAACTAAAAGAGCAGCATCTGCTTGTGTAGCACCACTTATCATATTCGGAATAAAATCTTTATGTCCAGGCGCATCCAAAATGTAAATTTTTTTACCAGAGGGAGTTTCTATATTTGTTTTTGCAATATCCTTAAATTAAAAAAATTTAAAAATATTTTTCTAAAATAAAATTTAAAGGAAACCATTGTAACACCACGAGAGCGTTCCTCCTCATTTTGGTCTAAAATCCAAGCAAAAGCAAAGGAAGATTTGCCTAACCGAGAAGAATCTTGTTTGTAACGATGCATTGCACGTTCATCCACATTTCCTAACTTTAATTTTTTTTAAATTTTTATTTTTTAATTTAAAAATTTTTTTCTCCTATTTATTTTCCCCTTCCCTATTAAAAAGAGGAAAGAAAGAAAAAAGACAAACAAAAACGCCTTTTCTCTAGGCATATTTAAATACTTTAGCAATTTCCACTATCGGGCCTCGTGGTGTAGCGGTTATCACGTCAGTCTTACACACTGAAGGTCGCCGGTTCGAACCCGGCCGAGGTCAATTCTTTTTAATTTGCTCAAATAAATTTTTTAAAGAAACACAACCGAACTTGGTAGAGAAGGTGACCAATCATTGTACTTTTACCAGCATCTACATGTCCAATAATAACCAAATTCAACGCAGATTTTGATTCTTCTGGGCGCGTTCGTTTCCTGGTGGATAAAAAATATAAAAAATTTATAAATTAGATTCTGGTGTGAGGTGACTATACCCAAAATTTTTGTGGCCCTTTTATAATAAAATATTATTAAAGAAATTAATGAAGTTAGGCATTTCAAGGAAAATAGGCCAAAAAATTAATTTTAAATTTTTTGAGGCAAAAATTGTGGTAGCAACTCCCATATTTTAACACAAAAATCGTGAGAATATTTTAAGTTAAATATATCCGTACCAAATTAACCTAGCTAATAAAGCAAGCCTTTTAAGACACAAATTTCTAATTAAATTCAAAATTTCTTGCCTGTATTTAGGAACAGCAGCAATAGCCATTTCAAGATTACTCAAAGTTTGTTTTGGCGTTAAAGCTCTACTTGGAGATTTTGAATCTGAACGATCTTTTGAGTAACCAGCATCTATTTTTAAATTTTCAACGGTTGGGGCAATTGCCAAATTTTGCTTTAAAAATTCAGTTTTTATTCAAAAATAAATTTTAAAAACCTTTATCTGTTCGTTTTTAGAAGGCGACTTATTTTGTATTGCTTCCACAGATTTCTGCTTTTTTGTTGTTGATTTGTCAATATATTGGATAGGTTGATCATCTAGTTAAGAATAAAATTGAATACAAACGTGCGTAGAAAACTTCCAAATTAATGGGTAATATTGAAACTGACAGACCCAATTTTTTCCTCCCCAAGGGTCTTCCTATATATTTGCAGAATGGTCAGACTTCCTCCTTTATTCCATCCCAAAAAGAGTCCTACAGTGGTTCAAAAGTCCTTTCTTCCATCCAAGGGGGATATAAATTAATTCCTTTTGATTGTTTGTAGGCAAAATATAAAGGCAATTGGAAATGAAAACTTGGGGAAAAAAGGCGTCTGTCAGGCTTAATATTACCAAAAAATACCAATTAAGAAAAGGAGAACCTTAAAAACGTCCTATCTCACTAAAACCCCCAAAAAAATATTTTAGAACCTCAAACTAAAACTTCCCCAATTTTAAGTCATAAAAGTTAAACAAAATAATAAAAATACAATTTTGCGGCTCTTCTTCTTCCTCGTCATAATCATCATAATCGTCTCCATAATCATCGTCGAGCTCTTAATTTAATCAAAATTAAACTGTTTAATCAAAAATTAAAAAAAAACCTTCTGCGATATTCAATTTGCGTACATTCCTGTGTCTAGACATATTTTTAAGCTGAAAATTTCTAAAAAAATAATCCAAAAATATTGCAAATTTTATGTAAAAATGAAAAAAAAATAAAAATTGTTTATTTCAACAATTAAATTTAAAAATTAATTTTCAAAAATTTAAACAATTTTTATTTAAATTAAATCCAAAAAACAACCCTAATTAAAAAACACTTTCAATTCCCTTCTCTTTTGGTTTACTTTGTTCAATCTTTTCAGCACGCAAAGTTTTTTGAATTTGTTGTTCTTCATAAAGTTGCTCAGCAATTTTAATTTCATTCAAATAATGGACAATTTGTTTCTGTAAAAAGATTATTAAATTAAAAAGTTTTTAATAATTTTTAATAAAATTGGAACTAAAAATAAGTTCCAGGGATAATATTAATAAAAATTTTTGGGGTAATTGTTCGGTTCGTACCTCCTTATTTTTTTCTGACCATCTTTTCATCTTCCTCCTTTCTTCCATATTTTTCATTAGGGGGATCGGATCCGTCACGGGACCGTCAATCATTCAAAAAAATGGCTGTAGTGTAGTGTACCGGTGGTAAAAGTTCGGGACGTGACATATGTCATTCGATTCGTCTCGGCGAGCTGAGTCGAACGGTACCACTCCCTATTTTAGGAAATGATTCTGGACCGAGTTATAGGTCCCTGAAAATCGAAAAACCAAAGGGGGGACCAAGCACTTTTTTGGGGTGAAAAATTCGAAAATGCAAATTATATCTCATTCGAAAGAGCTCGTCGAGCTGAGTCGAATGACACCAAAATCAACAAAATCCGACTTGATTTGACAAAGTTAAGACCGTTTGTTTTAGCTCCTTACCATGGCATCTGTGGAGATTTTTGCTGCTACGGAGGCCCCAAATACGTCCAGAGCAAGGGAGATAGGAATAGGTTTATGTTACGAGCCCAGACCCAGCGCCCGTAGACTCCCCGCGAGGCGCGTGCCGCAAAACCCCGCGCGAAGCGCGGGGTTTTGCACAAGCGCCTCGCCGACGCTCCATAGGTTTATGTTGGTAGTTTTTCTATCGTAACTTTGTCAAAACTTGTGCAATCAAGTTGGTTTTGGTGTCATTCGACTCAGCTCGACGAGCTCTCTCGAATGAGCTAACATTTGTATATTCGAAATTTTCACCCCAAAAAAGTGCTTGGTCCCCCCTTTGGTTTTTCGATTTTCAGGGACCTATAACTCAGTCCAGAATCATTTCCTAAAGTAGGGAGTGGTACCTTTCGACTCAGCTCGCCGAGACGAATCGAATGACATATGGCTCGTCCCGAACTTTTACCACCGGTACACTACACTATATCCAAAAAAATTTTTTGTTAGTACAGAAGAGTCAGATATACATACAAAAAATATAGAATCATTTTGGTCATCTTATAAGCGTAAGTTCCGCTATCAAGCAGGTAACAATACTGATTGATTGATACATGCTGAACAGATCTTAAAATCCTTTTTGATACTTACCTCATGAAAAAAAAAGGGAAAAGGAAAGGAAAAATGAAAAAATGGACAGAAAAGAGGGGTTACAATTACCTTTTTTGGAAATGTAAAAATGGAGACATAATTAAAAATCCCTGGATATCAAGAAAATCTCTCATTTTCAATAACTGAGGAACCTCTATAAATACAAGCTTAAAAAACAAAAAATAAATACCCCAAGTTCAACTTGCTTCTTCCTCCGTTCCAACTCCCATTTTGTAGTAATTGAAGGCTTACGACCATCCACAAAACTAAAATCAGGTCCTCTATCTAGTGGCCGAACAACGGGATTGTAATAAAGCCTGAAAATTAGTTAATGATTAACTGATAAGCAAATTACTTGATCATTACTATCGACAAATTAATTTTTAGTAAAAATCAAAAACTAACGGTTTTTTCCACCAACAAGAACCAGATACAAGTTCTGGAACATTTGACATCAACTTTTTCGTTAAAAACATTTTTGCTCTATCAATTCATGCAAAAAATTAGAGAACTAATAAAACAGAAAGTTTGTCTGAAATCTAAAAAATCTGAAAAAAATCTAATAAAAATATTTGAGTATCCAAACTTTAACAAGATCAACAGGAAAAAATAAAATAATTTTATATACAAAAATTTAATTAGGCAGTCATATTTATAAGCAAAATTATAAGCAATAAAAGAGGACTGAATTAAATATAACAAATATTTTTATATCAAGAATATATTTAGGCTCTTGTCCAGTTTATGCGTCCCATGAAAGTATATGCGTCCCATCAACAAAAAATTGGATATTTCTTGGTGTTGCAAAGTAGGGGTATGGTTCCAATACATTTCTTCATGTTCGGGATCTACGCCCACTGGGTCTGGGACCGTTCCTTACACTATCCTTCGAAATTTCTGAAAGTTATAGCCAATGTTTAAAAATTTCAGAAAAACGATTTTAACTTTCAGAAATTTCGAGGTATAGGGTAAGGAACGGTCCCAGACCCAGTGGGCGTAGATCCCGAACATGAAGAAATGCTTTGGAACCATACCCCTACTTTGCAACACCAAGAAATATCCAATTTTTTGTTGATGGGACGCATATACTTTCATGGGACGCATAAACTGGACAAGAGCCTATATTTATTTCTCATTTAAACAATTCAAGTTTGTTTCAAGTTCTAGTTATTGACGGCGGCAATCTGGCCATCTTTTGAAAAATAGGAGAAAACTCGCACCTATTTTCATTAGGTGGCGGTCGTTCAAGCTGCTAAAATTTTAAACGAATAAAAATTATTTTTTGGAATAAAAATATAAGCTACTTATTATCATTTAAGCTATCGGTTAGTCAAATTTCAAAATCTTGGTTGAGTTTCATGTATTTTTCAAATCAATACTTTTTGAAATTCTCAGGCTATTTTAATTAAAAATAGGAAAATCTTTCCTTTAAAATCGGAGTTTCGGAAAATGATTAACAGATTTAAAAATAATTTTAAAAAATCATACGTCTACAACAGAAATCATACTCGATGCCAACACCATAAAGTTAAATGGATTGAAATAAGCAGCCTTATTTGTAGCAATACTTTGAGGGTGATCAGGAAAAAAAGTTCGCCCTACATTCATCGCTAACAATCCTTTTGAGTCAAAAACTGCACCGCCACTATCGCCATCGTTAGTTTGAATAGTTCCAACCAAAAATTTTGCGTATACGTCATTCTCTCCTAAATAATTAAAAATAAATTTAATTAAAATTAATTCAAACCAAAAATCTCTTCATGTGAATGAATACTTCCTTGTTGAGGACCAGTTATTGATCCATCCTTCCCACGACCGTAGAGAATAATTTCATCACCTGCCCTAACGGAGTGAGAAATTGGAGGTCCATCGCCTTTAACATCGGTATCTGCTTTGAACAAGATAAAGTCCCAATGATCATTTATATATACGACAGTTGCTAGAAAGTGAGATCCATCATCAGAATAAATAAGTTGTTCATTTCCCCAGATAAATTTCTTGTGTTCATTGTGACGGAAAGTAGCAAAATATGATTTGTGAATTCGTGTAACGCATGTAGTAAGATTATCAATTTTGATGAAAAAACAATATTTTTTCACATCTCCCAATAAAGGCCCATTTACTTAAAAAGTTTTGTTTAAGAACTATTTTTCGAAATCAAAATATACCCGAACTAGGCAGCCAAGGAGAATTCAAGGCAAATCGCTCGACTTCATCTAAGTACTCTAAAATTAAAAAAATTTCAAATGATTATCATTATCCTCAATTAAAAATTCTAAAAAGCTATTTGAACTGTCAGGGGCCTAAAAGGAACAGGTCAAATTTAAAAATATAAAGAAAAATATTTTAAAAAGTACAAAAACCCTAGTCATTTCATAAAATCTAACCAAAAATGTCTTCTTAGGAACACGTTAAAAACCTCAAAGGGAACCTTTCGAACTGTTAGGGGCCTTATTTTTTCTTAAAGAGGAGAAAAATTTCTTTTTAATATGAAAAGAGTGAGGGAGTGTCGACCGCTCAAAAATTAGAATTTCAGTAAATTAAAATCTTTAAAAAACTAACCAGGCGCTACACTAACAACAGGAGGCTTCCGACGATAAATTACTTCAAACAACTTCCCTTTCCATCCATCAAAAGGCGCCTCAAAAGCCTTTTTATTATCATTAAATCTAAATAAGATGACATGTATTTAAACAATCTTAAATAAACATACGGAACACCGCGCTTGACATTAGAATTTGGCGTAGGGTACTTTAACCCATACGCTCCTGGAAATGTGTGTTCAAATGAAGAGAATGCCAAAGTCCCATCAGATGAGAGTGGAGTCCACCGAGTCCTGCCGGTAGCTTGGTCAGTTACACGAACAAACTGAAAAAGAGATTTATAGAACTCTCAAATTTTTAAAGTGAAATATACTTTATCAACAGCTTCTCCTTCAACTTCTGAAGACAAACTAGATCCCCTTGCACTGCCAGATTCCGATCCACTTTCAGCTTCAAGTTTACGTTTTTTTGCAGATGTAGACATTTTAATGATTTTAAGATCTGAATTTGTAAACCAATTTTTAAAAAAAAAATAAAAAAAACTAAATAAAAAATAAAAAATCAACGATTCAAAAAATGAGAAGTAAAAAAACAAAAGCAAAATTCTCAAATGTCACTGACGGTAAAACGGACAAATCGCCAACAGATGTAAAAACGGACAAATCGCCAACAGATGTAAAAACGGACAAATCGCCAACAAGAGGATATATGTAGTTCTCATCGCGTACGATATTTTGAATGGTGATATTTTGGGAAATTTCTTTTTAATCGAATCTCAGAAAATTATTTTGTCTTATCAATATGATTAAAATATTTTTTTCTTACACTTTGGTGGACTGATTTATTTTATATTTTTTTTCTGAAGAAAATTTATTCTTTCGTTTCTTATCTTTAACATATTCTAATTAAATTTATTTTTTTTTAGAATTTATAGTGAAAAAATGACTCAACCAGTAGCTGATATTGCTGTTATTGGACTTGCAGTAATGGGACAAAATTTAATTTTGAATATGAACGATCATGGATTTGTGGTATACTTTTTATTTATTTTGTTTTAATTCTAGTCCTCTAAATCTTTTTTTTCGGGATTAAGATTGTACTGTTAAACCTCCCATATTTTAATTTTTTTAACCGCGTCTAGTTTTTATCAGACCAGAACGTTGATACAGATTTTGCTATCAATATCCGTCTGTATCCGCGTGTATCCGCAAATATTATCCGTATCCATGACCAGGCCTGATTTTTATGATAACATGGACATTAACTGTTTTTACTAGCAACCTACCTTTCCTTATTGGTGTTTGTATAGTTTACAATCCATAAGCCTTGACCCTTTTCTTTTTAACTTCTTTATCTCATAAGGATAGAATAGTTAGGAGTAGAGGTCGGCGCGGGACGGGATCCCGACGGGATTTTCCGGGATCCCGAAATCCCGAATATTTTCGATCTTCGGGATCCGAGATTTTTTCGGGATTTATCTCTCGGGATCCCGTCCCGGCATCGGTTAAGAAAATCTCGACTCAGGATCCCGGAAGTACGATTTTGCCGACCTCTAGTTAGGATTAAACTATATCAATAAAATCATGCCTAAAAATATTTCAGAAAAACTTCTCTTTAAATTAGTTTATTTTCAAAATTTCTATAGGTTTGTGCATTCAATAGAACAGTTCAAAAAGTCGAAGAATTTCTTGCAAATGAAGCTAAAGGGACTAAAATAGTTGGAGCAACTTCTTTAGAACATATGGTTAAGTAAGTAGATTTTTATAATTTCCATTTTAATTTTTAAATTTTTTAAAGACTTCTCAAACGGCCTCGCAGAGTTATGCTTTTGGTAAAGGCTGGAAGTGCTGTTCAGGATATGATTGACAAAATAGTCCCACTTTTGGAATCTGGAGATATTATTATTGATGGAGGGAATAGTGATTATCATGATTCTAATGTAAGGTTTTCTTTTAAGGATTTTTTTGGGGGAATTTGGAGTTTGGGGCTGTTGGTTCTTGACAGTGTGCCTCGGTTTTGTAAACACCAATTTTTGTATCCGTCCAAAATAAAAATGGTGAAATGTCTAAAACCGGAAGTGTGTAATAGAGATCTAGCCAACCCGATTCCCGAAAACCGGGAATTGAATTTTTATGTCGGCTAGATCCCTGGTACGTAATCTTCGAAATTTTGGAGCCTACAGGAATCTGAACTTTCAAATCTTTAGACCGGGAAAGCTTTGTTTAATAACTACAATTATTGAATTTAATTAATTTTACAGGTTTAGAAAAATAGTACAGACCCAAAATTAACCTCAAAACTACCTTTAAATAATATTTTTAAATTTAATTTTATTTTTTGCAGAGACGATTTGAAGAATTGGCAAAGAAAGGAATTTATTTTGTTGGTTCCGGTGTCAGTGGTGGTGAAGAAGGAGCCAGATATGGGGTTATTTTTATACTTACACTTAATCCAATTTCACTTATTTTAATCCTTTTTCAGCCTTCTTTAATGCCTGGTGGTTCTCCAGAAGCCTGGAAACATTTAAAACCAATCTTCCAAGGAATCGCAGCAAAAGCCCCAGATGGCCTTCCATGTTGTGAATGGGTGGGGACTGCAGGTTCTGGACATTTTGTCAAAATGGTTCACAATGGAATCGAGTATGGCGATATGCAGTTAATTTGTGAGGCTTTCCATTTAATGAGTGAAGGATTGGGACTTGATTTTACAAAAATGGCTGAGGTTTTTTTTGATTATAATTTTTTTAAATTATTTTTTGAAGATTTTTGAGGATTGGAATAAAGGAGAACTCGATTCTTTTCTGATAGAAATTACTGCAAACATTTTACGTTATCGTGATGAAGATGGAGAGCCAATGGTGCCGAAAATACTTGACTCTGCTCAACAGGTTTTGTAGAAAAAATTTTGTTTTAGATATTTCCTGGGTATGATGTTATAATGCCAAAAGCTTGTAATGCCAAAGCTTGTAATGCAAAAAGCTTGTAATGCCAAACCCCCAAAAGCTGTTGAAATGCCAAACTGTGGAAAATAGCTTGTAATGCCAAACCCCCAAAATATGTTGGAATGCCAAACCGTGGAAAAGAGCTTGAATTGGCAAATAAATACAAAACTAGAAAATTTTTTGTTATTTCTGATAGAATTTGTTGTTAAAATTTTTTGTTTGTTCCAACAATAAGGATGTCGTTGTTCCAATTGAATGTTCGCTGAAAAAACTCTAGGCCGGGAATGTGGGGAGGGGCCGGCACTACGGGGAATGTTGTTCAAATTACGGGGAAAAATTGTTCCAACGGCTGGGGGGAGTTGTTCCGACTATAGGGAAAGTTGTACCAACGACGGGGATGTTGTTCAAATGACGGGGACGGTTGTTCCAGTGATGGGGGAAGTGTGATGTTGATCCCACGTTGATGGACCAACTTCACCCATCGTCGGAACAACATCCCCCGTCATTGGAACAACATCCCCCGTTGTGTTGGAATAACATTTGGCATTTCATCATATTTTGGGGGTTTGGCATTACAAACTATTTTCCACGGTTTGGCATTTCAACATCTTTTGGGTGTTTGGCATTACAAGCCTTTTTCAACGGTTTGGCATTTCAACAGCTTTTGGGGGTTTGGCATTACAAGCTTTTTTCCACGCTTTGGCATTTCAACAGCTTTTGGGGGTTTGGCATTACAAGCTTTTGGCAATATAAAACGCTCCGATTTCCTGTCTTCCAAATTATTAAAAAAAATTTTTTTTGGAATTTCTAGAAATTTTTTTTTGGAAAAATAGAAAAAAATTTCTTTGGAAAAATTTCAATTTTCGAGCCTGAAATGCTATGATTAAAGAAATTTCCTCATTAACTTTGACATTTACTACCTTACTTTAAATCCCCTCTCACATATGAATTTGTGGTTCAGTGGTAGTGTGTTTGATTTTGTTGTGAAAGCCTTTGGGTTCTATCACCTCTTTATTCCTCGAAAAGTTGTCAACCTCCATTAGGGTTGGCAGTGTGGAAATTCGATATGCTTTTAATTTTATAGCATTGTCGAGCCACCTTTTCGTAAATTATAAGCTTTCGGGCTATTCAGCATATTCCTGATCGCTGGGTAATTCTAAATGGATAATGACCTTTTGGGAAAAACCATGCTGAAAACAAAAAAATTTTATTTTTCTTAAAAAAATTTTTTTTTCAATTTCTAAAAATTATTTTTAAATTTTTTAGAAAGGTACGGGTAAATGGACGGGCATTGCTGCACTTGAATATGGAATTCCTGTTACTTTAATTGGTATATTTTTTATTTTAAATTTTTTAATTAAAAAAAATTTGTTTTCTAGCTGAAGCAGTTTTTGCCCGTTGTTTATCTTCTCTAAAAGAACAACGTGTTAGTGCTTCGAAAGTTTTACCTGGACCAGTAAAGAAATCTAAAGAAATTATTAAAGACTTGGAATTATTTATTCATAATCTTGGACAGGTTTTTTTAATTTTTAAAATTCTCTTTTAATTTTAAAAAGGCTTTATACGCTTCCAAAGTTGTCAGTTATGCTCAAGGATTTATGCTACTTTCTGAGGCGAGTAATCATTTTAATTGGAATTTGGATTATGGGGCCATTGCAATGATGTGGAGAGGTGGATGTATTATTCGTTCGCGATTTTTGGGACGAATTAAAAGTGCCTTTGAGAAAAATCCGAAGCTTGTAAATTTACTTTTGGATGATTTCTTTCTTGATGCGATGAAGAATGCTCAGGTTAATTTTTTTGAGAATTTTTGAAAAAAAATTTTTTTGGAATTTTTAAATTTTTTCAAGCCTAAAATTTTTTTATTTTTAGAATTCTTGGCGTGAAGTAATCTCTACAGCCGTTCAACTCGGTATTCCAATGCCTGCATTTAGCGCTGCATTAGCATTTTTTGATGGTTATCGTTCTGAAGTTTTACCAGCTAATTTATTACAGGTTTTTTTAATTGAAAATTTTTTTTTAATTTTTAAAAATTAAAGGCACAACGTGACTATTTTGGTGCTCATTGTTATGAACTTCTTTCAAAGCCAGGAATTGCTTTACATACAAATTGGACAGGAAAAGGAGGACGAGTTACATCGAATGCTTATTCTGCTTAATTTTACTAGGAAAAGAATTTTATTTTAAATTTTTATATAATAGGAAATATATATTTTATATAATAACTACACTACCAAAAATTGCATCACAAGGACAAGCAGGTAATTGAAGATAATTATTTTGTTCTCGACGCAACTTAGAATTAATAAGCATTGAAAAATTGACAAGTATACTTTTAAATATAAATTTTAGAGGTATGTTTAAAAACTAGCTCAACATTTGAAGGTCATCATTTCATTTGAAAGTAGTTCTTGAATTGCGTCATATATCATTGAAATTCCAACAAAATAGTTGTGCATAGTGAAATGAGCCGCTTTTCAAATGCTTCATTATAATTACAATCAGGAGGAAAACCAATAAATCCGAGGTTGATTCCACACAATCCAGCTTGGCTCCAAATACCTGCGCCGCTTTCACCGTAGTAAGTTGAAATAGTCCCGAGGAAAAAGGGACCAAGTATTTCATCGTCTTCTAAATATATTTTGAGCTATTTTTAAAGTAAATTTTAAACTAACTGTAAAAATTCTTTTTTTCTTGAATAAAAATGTTTCCTTCGCGATAAGACAAACACTTTAAATCGTTTCCATAACCATTGAGCATAATACGCCCACCAAATTTTGGACTGAAGTCCAATTCAGGACCTTCCTCTAGTGTTGTAGAGTTATTTTTGAGAATGATGAAGTTGAGAATGATTGAAGAGGAATTGATTTGTCGTTATCAAATATTGATCATTTCTGGATTAAATATACACTCAAAAAGTGCCAAATCAAAAGCACATTTAAATAAATGTTCTAATCAACAACGAGCAATAATCATTTGTCTAATATTTTTTGTAATATTTGGCAATATCAGGATATAAGGTGTTTTTTCGTCCTGTGAACCGGAAAATGTTTTTTGAATACGAATAAAATTTAGTCAGTCCAGAAATGGAATTGATTTGTCTATAGCTGCTTGCCACTGAAAAAATAAATATAATTTAACTTTAAGTTATCCTTCTCCTTAAGTTGATCATTTAAAGTTAAATGATTAAAGTTAAAGGATCAACTTAAGGAGAAGGATAACTTAAAGTTAAATTATATTTATTTTTTCAGTGGCAAGCAGCTATAGACAAATCAATTCCATTTCTGGACTGACTAAATTTTATTCGTATTCAAAAAACATTTTCCGGTTCACAGGACGAAAAAACACCTTATATCCTGATATTGCCAAATATTACAAAAAATATTAGACAAATGATTATTGCTCGTTGTTGATTAGAACATTTATTTAAATGTGCTTTTGATTTGGCACTTTTTGAGTGTATATTTAATCCAGAAATGATCAATATTTGATAACGACAAATCAATTCCTCTTCAATCATTCTCAACTTCATCATTCTCAAAAATAACTCTACAACACTAGAGGAAGGTCCTGAATTGGACTCCAGTCCAAAATTTGGTGGAAGTATTATGATTAATGGATATGGAAATGATCTAAAGTGTTTGTCTTATCGCGAAGGAAACATTTTTATCCAAGAAAAAAGAACTTTTTTAGTTAGTTTAAAATTTACTTTAAAAATAGTTCAAAAATGAATATATTAGAAGACGATGAAATACTTGGTCCCTTTTTCCTCGGGACTATTTCAACTTAAACGGTGATAGCGGCGCAGGTATTTGGAGCCAAGCTGGATTGTGTGGAATCAACCTCGGATTTATTGGTTTTCCTCCTGATTGTAATTATAATGAAGCATTTGAAGAAGCGGCTCATTTCACTATGCACAACTATTTTGTTGGAATTTCAATGATATATGACGCAATTCAAGAACTACTTTCAAATGAAATAATGACCTTCCAATGTTGAGCTAGTTTTTAAACATACCTCTAAAATTTATATTTAAAAATATACTTGTCAATTTTTTAATTCTAAGTTGCGTCGAGAACAAAATAATTATCTTCAATTACCTGCTTGTCCTTGTGATGCAATTTTTGGTAGTGTAGTTTATATCATTCAAAAACAATTTCATAAAAATTCAAAAAATATTTCTTTTGATTTTGCCCTCTATCTAAATTGTTTCTAATATTATCATCATCTTTATTAGAAATTCCAATCATTATATTTCCTGTAGGTTTTTCCAATGTAAAAGTTTCCAGATATACACCAATTTGAGTTTCGCGGAGAAGTAATTCATCTTGAAAAGTTTCTAATTTTTATTATTTTATAAATAGGAACCAGGGAATATGACGTTCCTATTCCCGAAAATCTGAATTTATTTATGTCGGCACGTTCTCTGAAAGGAAGAGGTGGGCTGGAACGATTTCAATCATCCGACAACTTTTACCCGATTTTCGAAAAATTCTTATTTTCTGGATTCGTAAAATTTGTGATAGTGAGATTTCCTATTTATGAGAGTTCTGACACTTTCGTCTGTTCCAATCCCTTTGAACAAACAAATGATAAAATAGAGGGGACACACAAATAATTAATCCTTACCATTTAAAATATCCCAAACAATTAATTCATTTTTATCGGAAAATCTCCTTGTGTTGTTAATTTTCTGTTTTTGTTGATTAGTAGAAAGTGTAAAGAGTAAATTTGTTTCCGTTAAAATGGAAATTTCACATCTGGTACGGCCTAAAAATTAAAAAAAATTTAACAAAAAAATATAAGAACAAGTGCAAATCTAAAATAACTTTTCCCAGTCAACCCAAGGAAATTGTAGAATAAAATTAAATCCTTTGTTACAAGGTGAAATCAAACAAAAGCCCAGTAATCAAACGATAAGATTTCCCCGTAAATATAAATTTAAAAAATTTCCTACTCACCAACAGGTAAAAGTTTTTCAACTTGAGAATTATTGTTAAAATGTCCATCTTCTTCAAATTTAATTTTTTGTAAAATTCTTCCATCCAAAGTTTTCCAAATAAAAATTCTTTTCTTTCCAAAATTAAAAGAAATAAATTGTTCCGCTGTTCCTTCTCCAAAATTTCCATTTTCAAATAATGTTTGTGAATATTTAATTTTATTTAAATTTTCTTCAAGTTGTATTAAAACGCCTGTTTCTGCTTTAAAAAAATAAAATTTTCTTTTAATTCCGTTTTATTTTTAAATTCTCTTAAAAGTCAATTTCCGATATTAGTAACAATTTAATAGTTGTCGTCGGTTGTCTATTTTGTGTGAATGTGAGGTTAAATGTATGATTTAGTGGATGAATCGCTCTAACACATTTTAAAACACCCAGGGAGTTTTTAGGGAAGAAATTATTTTTAATTAAATTTAAAATAAAAAAATTACTCGCAAACCACAATTGTTGTTTATTCTCCCAATTTTTAACTATAGAAACACCAACAAGTTCAACACTTCGATTAGTTGTTGTTGCTTCTCGATACAAATGTTTAGGTAAATCCGAAAGGGTTATTTGAATACTTTCCAATAATTCCAATTGATTGTTTGGTTCAAGTCTTAAATTTTTTAATTTTTGGAGATTTATGAAGGCGAAAAAAATTCATTTTTTCTTCAATCCCATCCCCTAATTTTTTCCTTTTCCCCATTTCATGGGGGGGGGGGGGTAATTCACCTCCACCCTACCCCACTGGCTACGAGCCTGCTAGGATTTGATAACTAGAATTTCAACCAGACGTGATAACTGAAAATCCGTGAAAAGCAGGAGCTTAGAACTGACAAAAAAGGTCTCGAAAAAAGTTAAATAAGAGATTAGGATAAGTGGAGGACAGAAAATATAAACATACCACAAAAGGGTAGCTAATCAGCTTTCCCAGATAAAAATATTTTTTTAAAAATTAAACCTGCTTTTAATTACTTTTCCATCCAATCCAACACTAATAAGTATTCCTTTATGCTCATCTAGCCAATGAAATTGCGTAATAGCCCTTGAGTGCAAGCCTGCTGTTGGACCGCCACCATTCCATAAAACTTTGCCCACATTTCCCTCCAATGTTGAAAGCAATAAAAGTTCTCCGTTGTAAAGGCCAACAATTAATATCTAAAAAATAAAAATTTCGGTATCTTCCCTTATCTTACTTCTTTCACGAAAAAATTACAAACGGCCAAAGACCATTTAAAATATCAGGGGATACCAGAAAAAACACGGAGATAATGGGGAGTATCAAAATTTCAACAAATTTTCAAAAAATTAAAAACCTCTCCATGGCGACCAAAAATTGCCTCACTCGGACAAGCAGGTAACTGAACCCAATTATTTTGTTTCCGGCGTAAATTCAAAAGTAAATGGCCTACATGTTCTGCACAATGAGAATCATGTTCAGCTTCAGCAAAAAGAACGGCCACGCGAGAGCCTAATCCACAACGAATTGCAAAAGGTTGACAAGTTGGTGAAAATCCTTCGGTCTTTAAAATTAGAATTTATTAATTCTACTATTTAATTATGCTAGACAGGGGGTTAAAATCTATTAAAAGAGAAAGCGAAATCAGCGTCATGGTAGCTCACAGCAATCGAGGTAGCTGTATTGACTAACAGAATTTTTGGGTTCACTAAACTAATGTAAGCGAAAATCCTACGCTGCCGAATCCTGGGAAATCCTTCAAGCCGGACAAAAATTTTTAGATATCAGGATACGGATATGTTAATTCTATAACAAATTTTAATTCCAAACCAAGCATCTTAAATGCTAAAAAATGAAATCATCCCATAACTCATCCACTCCCCTACTCAATATTTTAAAACTAATAAACCTTAGGTAATTCAGTTTCTCTTAAAAGTTGTAGAAAAATTCTTCTTTTTTGTTCCTTTTCAAAATCATTTCCCCAAACAGAACGTTCATAAACTTTCAAAAGAGGCAATTCTGCAGAAATATTATCCAATTCCTTTAACAATAAATCGACCAAATTCGATGAAATTCGAAGAGAATTAGCTGCCGAACGATTCCATAATAAATATTCTTTGTCTGTTTGTGTGCCACGTTCAGGAGCTTTTAATGGATCTATTGAAAGAATTTTTATAATCAACTTTCATTTAAAAAAGTGTTTGAACAAACCTGTCCCTGTAGCATTATAAACAATTTCATCACTTTGAGTTCCTTTTGACAATCGAGAAGTAGAAGAATAACGTTTTTTATGTCCCAAATTTCCATCAAAATCACTTTGAAAACGTACTGTGCCCATATTTGAAAATGGGACACAGTCGTCAATGGCAACTGAAAAAGCAAAAATCGTTAACAAGCGAGTTAATGGACAATCGAAAAATGGTAAGAATAACAGTTCCTTAAAACAAAAAACTGTCAGAAATGTTAAATTTTTTTTGCATTTTTAGTTGTCGCAAATAAAACAGACGAAATGCGATATTTCTCAGTGGTTGGCATTTTTAAGTTAGATATTTTGTATTTATTAGCGGCGATAAAAAATCAAACTGTCAAATGTCCGAATTCGGGACACTTTTTCTTATTTTTAAAATTAGTTCGAAGGAACTCGGAATGCCTAAAAATTTCTAAATAAAACATACCATCGTGTAAATCCTGTTTCTAACCTATGGCCCTGACCCCCCATTTCGAAAAATTACAGGGCTTCAAAGTTTTCTACTTTTGGCGTCTTTTTTGGCATTCTGCAATCTTTGTTTCTCTAATGTTCTCTTTTTATAATGTGTACTGTACGCTTGCTAATTTTTCTTATTATAAAAGCATTTCCTAAATACTAGTGTGCACGTCGTTAGTTTAAAGTGGCGGAAGGTATGACGGCATTGAAAATGACACATACCGCTAATGATAGCACTGCAAGGACGGCTCGTTCAATTTCTGGTCGGGGTGCTGGAGCATCCACTGCTCGTAAAAGTATAGGTCCAACTGTGAGTACCAACATTACTTTGAGCGCAAGGCAGCCGACTTTCATCTTTGAGAAGTTTTTGGAGAAGCATTTGCGTTATACAAAGAAACGGGTTTGGACTTCTTTCTTTTATCCTTCCAAAAAATTCCTATTTTTCAGATTGTTTATCATCCTAGCGAGATAACACACTTTGTTTGGCTGCTGAGAATACATCCAAAAAACATTACAAAGACGAGTCTTGCGTTGTAAAAATCAAACGTTTACCGCTGTACATAATTGGCGACATCCATGGGAATTGGCGTCAACTTTTGCGAATATTCAATGTGTTGGGGTTGCCTGGCGATAAGGCTTATCTGTTTCTTGGGGGTTAGCATTTTTGAGGAATCTAGTTATCTGAGTTTGTCCCTGAAGACCTACACCTTTTGACCAACACTGTTTTTATTTCTTGACATGTCTAATCTTGGGATCTGAAGGGATTAAAGGAGATAATGACGGATTTGGCAGTATAAGGGGATATTGGTGGATTTGGAAGGAGATCGAGGATCTGTGGATCAGGGCATAAGGGGGTATAGGCTTCATGGTTTAGGCCTTATAGGTTCACCCCAGTTATCTGATTACTAAGTTCATTCGAAAAGTTTTTATTGATCCTTGTACTTGAGTCTTCTTACAGGAAAAGAAGAAAAGGTGCGGGGCTTACGGGGGGTAAACTGCACAAGTATCATGATCCTTAGCGATCTTCCCTTAATGAATGATTTTTTCTATTTAGACTATGTTGATCGCGGCCTACGTTCTCTGGAAGTTGCTTGTTTGCTGATTTGTTTGAAGATGAAGTACCCAAATAAGGCAAGACTATGTGCTTAATTTTTACCCTAATCTCTTATTTTTCAGATTTTTCTGCTCCGCGGCAACCACGAAACAGGTAAATTTGTAGTGTCAGTTTTAAAGTAACCTTCTCCTCTTTAAGACTACAATGCATATTATGGATTCCGAGAAGAGTTAAAAACTCGATTCAATTTGGGCGATGCCTATTCTGTGTATAAACACATCAACAGTTTGTTCAGATATTTTCCGTTGATTGTTGGTGAGGAAATCTAATTTAAGCAGTCTAATCTTCCTCCCATTTTTAGACAGCATTCTGTGCATGCATGGAGGGATTTTGCCAAGATTGAATATGCTCAGTGATCTTACAAAGGTAACTCTGACTTCAAAAGGCTAAAAATTTTTACCTTTTTGCAGCTTAAACTTCCCAGGGACATCATTGCACAACAGCGAGATACTTCGCTTCCCAAAAATTTCTTCCTAGAGAATCATCCATTGGACTTGGATCTTCTTCTGACCCTAATGTGAGTTTGCTTTGCGGAGCAATTCAACTGAGTCCCGGCCCTATAACTCAAGAAGTGTTGGATAATTTTTAAGTTCTTGGTACTATTAGATAGAGCATTAAATTGACCGGTCCGGGACTCAGTTTAGGTGTACCCTTTGATTTGTTTTGAACCTAAATATTTTTTCATTTAAGGGTGATGTAGATGTGTTTGAGTATAATGAAGCTCGACAAAGTTCCGTTTGGTTTGGACCACAAGAGGTTTATTCGACTTGTGAGAAGCTCATTGTGCGAGCTCATCAGGCTTTTAATCGCGGTTTTGGCTTTTTTGCGGGAAAGAGGATGGTTACTTTGTTTGGGGCGACGGACTATGTTGTGAAGGTGTCTCTTATAACTAAGCTTATCGTTTAAATTAATTTTTAGGGAAGTTTTGCCGGTATTCTTCATTTACAATTGGGCAATGTTCAAGACAAGAAAGGCAAACCACTAAAAATAGGCCAGTATTCTTTTCCGCGGCGCAGGTGAAAATTTTCGAGAATTTTAAGAGACAAACAGCCAGAAATCGTCTATTGATACTATGCGTTTCCCTGGATTTCCGCAAATGTTTGTCCACAAATTTTTATCTTTTAATTTCCTTTCTCTCATAAAGATTATCAAAGTGAAAAAAAGTAAATGATTTTTTAACCATAATAGTAGGGTTGTTCACTACTGGTTGTTAATCCTACCATCGTTTAATTCGCCAAAAACACTGGTTTTGGTTCGGTTAACTGACCGTTAACAACTCCACTTAACAGTTGTTCGATCAGTAGTTGATGTAAGTCAAGGACAACCGACGATTTCTCGGTTCGGTTCCGGATATCCTAAGATTTTCCAAGAACCGATAAAACTATGGAGGCAACCTACTATGTAACCTCTAACCCTGCTATGCGTGTTAGAGCCTATGGTCCAGCATTGTGCGTGTGTAACCTAACTCTAGTTTTTAAATCAAAATTTCGAACTTTTGTTTAAGACGTTCACAAATTGTTTAGTATTTATTTTCATTATTATTAATCCTTGATTTACTAATCTATGAGGAGAAAGAAGTGAAAAGAAAAAAATTTGCTGACAAACATTTGTGGACATGTGGGGGAGATAACTCATAGTTGTTTAAAAATGCCAAAAAATTTTAATAACGTACAAGTTAAAAATAGGGAAAAGTATGACAAATGTGTAAAATCAGAAAACCTTCGATAAAAAGGTCGAAAAAGTGTAAATAAGGGTAAAGAAAGCCTGATATTAATCAGAATCATTGAATTTTTTACATTAATTTTTAAGTTTTACCAACCTCTGACAAAATATGAAAATATTTATTCTACATATCAATGACAAAGTCTTGTGTATTGGCTGTGACATCAAATTATTTTACAATTTTTCAAATTATTTTACAACTTTTTTTTTAAATTGGTGAATAGCTCCAAGTTTCTAACAATTATTACAAATATACAACAACAATTGAATTTATCTAAGAAATATGATTTTGTCTTGCTAAAGTGGTGACGGAATTTTGGTCACCAATTTTTTCGAATTTTGGCCACTAGCGGAATTTTGGTTACCATACGTGTAATAACATTAAAGTTTTGCAACTGCAAACAGGAAGAATTCACAATTCTGCTGTTGTCAATTTAGTTGTTAATTTTACGGTTGATCATTTTTGAGTTTGTCAATCTCCCAGCTGACTGGTAACTTATGGATGATTACCCCCCGTTGATCACTCAAGGAGATCAATCTTCTGTTGCTCAATTTTCCGGTCGATAATCTCCTATATGACTGAGCACTACGCGTTGATCACTTTACCTGTTGATCACACTCCAGACTGATCTCTCATGGTTGATCATTTTTCAGAGTGAGTGATTATCAGGGAGTGTGATCAACCAGGAAATTAATCATCTGAGAGAGTAAAATCAATTTTTTATCATTTTGATATCAGTTCTAGATAAGATTCGTTTTTTATGTTTTGTGACCAAAATTCCCATTGGTGATCAAAATTTCAGAAAAGTGGTGACCAAAGTTCAAAGAAATCTTGGTGAAAACTTAAAGTGACCAAAATTCCGGTACTCGCTAAAATCCAATGATGAATCTTCTGGCTCTTAAATATGCTTAAATGATTTCAAAATTATTTTAAACATCTTTCAAACAAAAAAGGAAGAATTTTTTCTGACCAAGTGGAAACTTTTATATGTTGAGCAAGTTTTAAATATACTATAACTCAAAATTTATATTTTTTAATTCTAAATTTAGTGTTAGAAATACAAATAAGGTTGAAGAAATAAAATAAGGTTGGGGTAGTAATTAGGATACAATTAGGAGACGGATTGGCAATTGTGTGAGAGTTTTATAGTTTTATACTTAAAAATTTTTTTATATTTTTTAATTCTAAATTTAGTAGGCTCAGAGTACATCTATTGGAATTTTAATTGGTGCCATTTCTCCATCAAGTCATGATGATGTTGCAGTTGTTTGGAGCGCTGATGGATTAGTCGGTTTAAATCTGGGAGTTGTTACATGTCATCAAGATGCTAGGGACACAACAATGAATATAATTGTAGTTATGGAAGATGTAATGTTTGAAATCAAAGTATTTTTTAATATTAAAAATATTTCATACTAAGAACTACCTTTTACCCGAATGGTATCAAAAAATATCGAATTCGTTCTGACAGTTCAATATTAGTTTTAATTTTTTCTTTAAAATAAATTATAAAATACTTTTTTTATAGAAATTGGAGGCAAAATCCAAATTGAATGAAAAGAAGCCTGATTTCGTCATCAAGGTGGATAATGTTGAGTACAAGTGTTTAAATTTAATTTTTTAAATTTATTTTTTTTAACTTTTTGATTTAAAAAAATCCACACTTTTTCTTTAAAATAAATTTTGATTGCTTTAAAAGTATTTCTTGATATCGGATATGTTTTGATTACTTTTATATTTCAATTTTTGCTCAAATTTTTATTCATCTTTACAAATTAAAATTTTATTTTCAAATTCAAATAGAGAAGGAAAAACCCCATAGGTTAGCGAAAACATTTAAAGAAGCGGAGCAAACTCATTTTACCAGAACCACAAATTTCTGATAAAGAATTGGAAGATATAATAAAAATTGGACATGTATCTGATTCTGTTAGAGAATTAGTTGATGATAATCCTTCTAGGTTTTTTTTATAAATTATTTTTTAAAAAATTAAAAATTTATTTTTAAAGACTCTTCAACATGATTGTAACGAATCTGCACGAATGAACGCATTTTCTGCCAGAACACAAAGAGCTGCTGTTGGGGATGTTGATACAGTTGCTAGGGTATTTTTTATTCAAAGTTTTTGAAAAACGAATTCGGAACTTAAGAGCCTTATTTTTCATTTTCCTCTATTTCTCTTGGTTTCTGGCAACTAGATCAATCAGGAGGTCTGGGCCTTAATGTCTGGCCTAACAACTACTTTGTTAAACAACTAACCAAATTGATCCCTCTTGGGCGATTTCATTGCCAAATGTAAACTAAGTGAAAATATTTAACAAATCAAAATAATAAAGTCTTTATAATTTCTTTATAATTCTCTTTTTTAGGCAGCCGATGATTTATTAGCTCTTATAAACGTAGAAACACCACTTAAATGAGGTCTTTTTTAACCAATTTTAAAGTTATTTTTTGAACAATTAAATGAAAAAGGGTTAATAATGATTTTTAATATCTAGTATTTCATTCGTTTTTTTTTATTTGAAATAAAATTTTTATACTTTTTAAATTTATCATTAAACGTTAAATTATACATTTCCTACTTTACTCATTCTTTACATAAAATAATTTTTAGATTTATTAGAATTTAGATTCAATTTTAAAAATGTCGCGACAGGTTATCTTTTAAATATTGATTATATTTGAATAATTGCAAATTCCTTTTTTAGTATATTAGTGTGACTGGTTCAAATCGTACTTTTACTGTGCCTCTTACATCAGCAGGGACATTGCAATTAGAAGTTTTACAAGGTTTATTCTCATATGATGTGTGCGGGTTGCGATATTTGAATGAAAATGCTTCTTTAAATAACCAATCTGAACCGTTATATATTGATGTTTTGTATGTTTTCTACTTTTTTTTAAATTCCATTTTGTTTTTAGTTTTGATGAGTTAAGTCAATGCTTAATTGAGCCAACAGGTGGCTGGACCAACAAGAGATTTGAAGTTGTTTATCGTTCTGCTGGTTTGATTTTTCAATTCTTAACTTTTTAAATTATTGGTATCATAGGTTTGGACGAGGACTAGCAACTTCGTGGTAGTGTTTCTGGTATTTATTTTCCCACCCCACACAATTTTTTTGTTACAGAATGAATCGTGATGGTTTCGGCTGATAAAGAATTTAAATTTTTTGTTCAAAATTTCTATTTGATTTTTTAAACATTTTCTTTGAGTTTACTTGTTTTAAAGTTATTTAAACTCTTGCTTAAATAAATTTTTGTGTGGATAATATAGTCTTAGTTATTGAATATTTTTTCCTGTTAAAATTTTTCTATCTTTAGGGACTTGTGTTTTCTCTCTTATGCTTACTAGGGCATGTTTTTTGTTACATTCAAAGTTAGAGCCAAATAATAAAGAAATCTTTTGAATTAGGTAGCTTTTAGCAAAAATTATGCCTACTCAATGAAAAGTGTTGCTGAGGGAATTGCTTTTAGTAGTTAAAAAGTAAATATGTATATTCCACCAAATTTGATTAAAAACAACTATTTTATTCATCCCTTCCCTTTTAATTATTTTTTAAATTTAAATTTGTTTTTAAATTGTCTTTTTTCGTCTGAAATATTTTGAGAAATTTTATCAAAATTAGATTTGATTTAATTTGTTGACTCTTTCCTTTAGTTCCTTTAGTTTAAAAAACCAAAAAAATATTTATGCGTTTCGATCGATATAGGGATTATTCAAATCAGTCAAGTATCGAAGGTTTCTTAAAATGAGGTTCAGGAATAAAATAGAGGGACTGGAGTGTCCTGTTTCGTAATTTCATTAACTATGTAAAAGTGTGTGTAAAGAGAGGATTTCGAGACAGAAATATACATATATGTATTTTTGTGGTTGGGGTCAGGTGAGTGCCGCCAGCTGAGAGCGGGCCAACTAAGTGCGGCCAACGAGAGCCCCTTATGAACGTGCCAACTATGTCTTTAATTTTAGGGCCACAAATTTAATAGGTGAAATGAAAACAATAACTTTTTAAGTGCTGGACTCGGTTTTTAAGTTAAATTTTTTGCTTGGAGAGAAAAATCGAGACTATGACTTCAACGAAGGCCAAAAAAACCAAAAAAAGTTAAAGTTAACTCGGCTGGCATTTAAAATGTTCTTTAGATCGTAAAAAGTGAAGAAAAATAAAACAAAGTGTAAGAAAAAATATTCTAATATTTTTATGGTAATTAAAATTACTGGCGCAGTTGGCCCTTTTACAACGGGCTCTCAGTTGCCCGCGCTCAGTTGGCAGCACTCAGTTGCGGCACTCAACTGACCCGTTCCGATATTTTTGTATTTAACTTTTTTGGCATTCTGTCATTAAATGCTTTTTTTTCTTATTATAAAAGCAGTCTAAAATAATGGCGGCACGCTTCAGTTATTCAGAGGGGTTTGTTCGCATTTTGAGGATTTCAAGCATCAAGTCGACAAGTACCGCTAATGATAGCACTGCAAGAACGGCTCGTTCAATTTCTGGTCGGTGCTGGGCATCCACTGCTCGTAAAAGTGTAGTCCAACTGTGAGTACCAACAGTACTATGAGCGCAAGGCAGCCGACTTTCATCTTTGAAAAGTTTTGGAGAAGCATTTGCGTTATACAAAGAAACGGGTTTGGACTTCTTTCTCTCCTATCTTTCCAAAGCTTATCTTTTCAGATTGTTTATCATCCTAGCGAGATAACAACACTTTGTTTGGCTGCTGAGAATGCATTCAAAAAACATTACAAAGACGAGTCTTGCGTTGTAAAAATCAAACGTTTACCGCTATACATAATTGGCGACATCCATGGGAATTGGCGTCAACTTTTGCGAATATTCAATGTGTTGGGGTTGCTGGCGATAAGGCTTATCTGTTTCTTGGGGGTTAGCATTTTTGTTGGGTCTAGTGAACTGAGTCCACCCCTGAAGACCTTCTAACCTTGAAGATCATGAATGATTTGGCCGTATAAGAGTATATTGATGGATTTGGAAGGATATTGAGGATCTGTGGATCGGGCACTAAGAGTGTATAGGTCTTCATGGTGTAGATCTTATAGGCTGACCCTAGTAATCTGATTACTAAGTTCATTCGAAAAGTGTAAGATGATCTTTGGCGATCTTTCCCTTACAAATTAATGAATGATTTCTTTCTTTAGACTATGTCGATCGCGGTCTACGCTCTCTGGAAGTCGCTTGTTTGCTGATTTGTTTGAAGATGAAATACCCAAATAAGGCAAGATTATATGCTTAATTCTACCCTATTATCTTATTTTTCAGGTTTTTCTGCTCCGCTGCAACCACGAAACAGGTAAATTTGCAATATCAGTCTTAAAGTAACCTTCAACTTTTTAAGACTACATCAATGCATATTATGGATTCCGAGAAAAGTTAAAAACTCGATTCAATTTGGGCGATGCCTATTCTGTGTATAAACACATCAACAGTTTGTTCAGATATTTTCCGTTGATTGTTGGTGAGGAAATCTAATTTAAGCAGTCTAATCTTCCTCTTATTTTTTAGATAGCATTCTGTGCATGCATGGAGGGATTTCGGCAAAATTGAATAAGCTCAGTGATCTTACAAAGGTAACTCTGACTTCAAAAGGTTAAAGGAATTGGATAATATTTCTGCAGAATTGCCTCTTTTGAAAGTTTATGAACGTTCTGTTTGGGGAAATAATTTTGAAAAGGAACAAAAAAGAATTTTTCTACAACTTTTAAGAGAAATTGAATTACCTAAGGTTTATTATTTTTAAAATCTGAGTAGGGGACTGGATAAGTTTAGAAGGAAGATGTCATTTTGCATCATTTAAGACGCTTGGGTAGGGATTAGTTTTTTCTATACAATTGAAGAATACGGATCCTGATATCGAAAATTTTGGTTCGGATCCGGGGATTTCCCGGGATTTATTAACGAAGGATCTTCACTAACTAGTACCTCCTTACTAGGCTACTCATGTCTGGCGTCCAGTAATTTAGTGAACCCAAAAATATCTGTAAAGCTATCACTTTTACCTTCTCTTTTAATAGATTTTAACCCCCTGTCTAGCAGAATTAAAAAACAAAATTTAAAGATTCAATTTTAAAGACCGAAGGATTTTCACCAACTTGTCAACCTTTTGCAATTCGTTGTGGATTAGGCTCTCGTGTAGCCGTTCTTTTTGCTGAACCTGAACACGATTCTCATTGTGCAGAACATGTAGGCCACTTACTTTTGAATTTACGCCGAAGACAAAATAATTGGATTCAATTACCTGCCTGTCCGGGTGATGCAATTTTTGGTTGTCATGGAGAGGTTTCTTAATTTTTTGAAATTTATTGTGACTTTTGTACTTTTGCGTTATCCCCGGATGTTTTAATTCTTGGCCGTTTGTAATTTTTCTTTCTCTTATCATTCCAAAAATCTTTTTTTTCAGATTGTTTATCATCCTAGCGAGATAACAACACTTTGTTTGGCTGCTGAGAATGCATTCAAAAAACATTACAAAGACGAGTCTTGCGTTGTAAAAATCAAACGTTTACCGCTATACATAATTGGCGACATCCATGTGAATTGGCGTCAACTTTTGCGAATATTCAATGTATTTGGATCATGGAGGTTAGTATTTTTTATTGAATCTAGTGATCTTCTGATTGCCTTTTCTTTAGACTGTAGATCGCGGTCTACGCTCTCTGGAGTTGATTGTTTGCTGATTTGTTTGAAGATTAAGTACCCAAATAAGGCAAGATATTTATTAACTTAAGTTTAAGTAAATATAAAAATATTTTTTGGAAAAAGGAGGAAAAAAGATTAAGATAGGGGGAAAGTACCAACTTTTATTTTTTAGATATTAATTGTTGGCCTTTACAACGGTGAACTTTTATTGCTTTCAACATTTGAGGGAAATGTGGGCAAAGTTTTATGGAATGGCGGCGGTCCAACAGCAGGCTTGCACTCAAGGGCTATTACACAATTTCATTGGCTGGATGAACATAAAGGAATACTTATTAGTGTTGGATTGGATGGAAAAGTAATTAAATGCAGGTTTAATTAAAAAAATATTTATATCGTTAAGACCCCTGTTGTATTTTTATATTTTTTCTCCCCACTTATCTCCTCTGATTTAGTTCTTTGTTTTTGAGCTTTTTTGTTCTGCAATCCTATTTTTTTCACGTTTTAAGTCCTCGTCTCGTTGGGATTCTGCTTTTACTTTAGTGCCCTAATGTTCAATATAACTTAAAATCCTAAACGCCAGATTTCTATGTCTTGAATTATTTTATAAATTTTTATTTTAATCTCCAAAAATTTAAGACTTGAACCAAACAATCAATTGGAATTATTGGAAAGTATTCAAATAACCCTTTCTGATTTACCTAAACATTTATATCGAGAATCAACAACAACAAATCGAAGTGTTGGACTTGTTGGTGTTTTACATTTAAAAATTGGGAGAATAAACAACAATTGTGGATTGCAAGTATTTTTTTATTTTAAATTAAATTAAAAATATTTTCCCTTAAAATCACCTCTTGGTCTTTTAAAATGTGTTTTAGAATTTATGCGAAAGTTTTTTTTAAAGCAGAAACAGGCGTTCTAATCCAACTTGAAGAAAATCTAAATAAAATCAAATATTCACAAACATTATTTGAAAATGAAAATTTTTGAGAAGGAACAGCAGAACAATTTATTTTTTTAATTTTGGAAAGAAAAGAATTTTCATTTGGAAAACTTTGGATGGAAGAATTTTACAAAAAATTAAATTTGAAGATGGACATTTTAACAATAATTCTCAAGTTGAAAAACTTTTACCTATTGGTGGGTAGGAAATTTTTTAAATTTATATTTACGGGGGGAATCTGTCCGTTTGAGTACTGGACTATAATTTATTGTTTTCACGTAGCAAAGAATTTTACTGGAATTAGATCTCATTTCAATTCTATTATTTTTTGGCAAATATTTTTTTATTTTTTAGGCCTTACCAGATGGAAATTTTCATTTTAACGAAACAAATTTACTCTTTATACTTTCTACTAATCAACATAACCATAAAAAATAATGTTAGAAGAAAATCTGAAAAATGAATTAATTGTTTGGGATATTTTAAATGGTAAGAATTAATTATTGATAAACATATTATGAATAGGAGTCCTCTTTATTTTATTATTAAGTTGTTTGTTCCTATAAGAGATAGATTTGAATAGCTGAGTGTCAAAACTTCAATAAGTCGCAAATTTACTATCCCAAAATACTAATCAACATAACTCATTTCAATTCTATTATTTTTTGACAAAGCGAATTTCCGGGAGTCAGAAATTTTTCGAAAATCGACTAGTTGGTGTTTATATTTTTGGTCATTTATCAAAATTTAGAAAAATTTTCGTAAATGAAACCCCTTCACTGTTTCTTTTTATTTTTTATTTCCTTCTAATTTGTTTTAAATTTTTAGACATTTCACAACTACAAGCGAATTGTTTGGTGAAAGTAACATTGCAAATCAGTTGTAACCAACATTTAAAGGAATTAAAATCTCTAAATAATAATCCTAATAACTTATTTTCTTTTAAATTAAACTTAATATCATTCAAGCTTTAATTTATTGTTAATTTAACAATCTTTATTTTTCGTATTCTACAATGATTAAGTTTTACGATTTTTTTAGTTTTGAATATTTACATTGCCAAAATAATTTAAAAAAGAAAATGTCTCGACAAGTAAATTTTTTTTATATTAATTGAACTTAATAAATAATTTTAGATTATCAATGTCAAGGGTGCTGATGGTATTATTGTTGGAATTTCTCTTTCTCAAACAGGTGTACTGACACGTTCAGCTTTGGAAACTGCTTTTGCTAATTCACTCTGTTTAAAATATAAGAATGAAATTTTTGGTTTTGATCAAACTACAGAACAATCATATATTATTGTCAAGTAATTTTTTGTTTCTTAAACAATATTATAATTTGCCTTTAGTTTTGATGAAAATGTAAAGGCTTTTATAGAACCAGCTGGAGGTTGGATGGGGAAAACTTACGAGGTTGTCTATCGTGCTAAAGGTTATTCAATTTTTAATGTTTTGCATTATCCTTCAAAAATTAATTTGCTGTTTCCATTCCTGGCCTCTCTAGGTTTTGAAACGTACATAACAGTCTAGCATATGTTTATAGGGTCCTTTATGTTATCAATCCATATTTTTTCATGTTGTGAGATTTACTCATATTTTCGGTTTTTTATCCAGATTTTGTTATTGTGTCCTTTGGTCCTAATTTTTTGAACTTTAGTCAAAATATTTTATGTTCATCAGTGAACAATCAACCCTCAGAGATTAATTTATCTTGATCACTCAGATGATCAGTTGAAAAATTTGATCAAAAATAAATTTTCCCCGTCATTGGAACAACATCCCATTGTTCTTTAATGAAATTTTAAAAATTAGTGTTGATTTTATGGTTTTCGATACTTTGAGTTATTTAAGTATTGCTAGTCTGGGTTGAGATTATGTCTTTATTGAGATTATGTTATTCTTTATATATTTCAGTCATATTTTTTATTTTTAAAATTGGCCCCGCGTTTTACAATAAAGTTAAAAATTTTTTCTACTTTTAGATTTATCTCTTGCTGGTCCTTTCAAATCAACAAAAAGTATTTTATTAATATTTTCACTATTAGTTTATCTTTACTTTGATTAAACCTTTAACATAAAATCTGAAATTTGCTTTTTAGGAAATGTGCCTGAATTTTATGATATTGAAAAATATCTATTCTACATAAAAGAAACATCTGGAAGTAAATCATGTGTTGTTCTATTAAAACCAAATTATATGGTTACTTTTCGTCATGGACCTCATAGTCAATATTCAATTAATGATGAAGTTACAATTTACACACATAATGGTTTTAGTCAATACAAAACAAATGTAATATATGTGTCCAGACGTTTTGACTTTGTTATTCTGAAATCAAATAAAAATGTCGTTCCGGAAGCCCCGCCTATGAAATACAATCCAATACTTGGAACAAACATTGCTTTAATTGGCTACGGCAACGAACTTGAATGTCTTTCATATAGAAATGGAATATTACACATCCAAGAAAAACAAACTTTCAGGGGTTGATTAAAAAAATTTTAAAGACTAAAAATTTAATAAATTTTAGATAACACTGATGACTTTATTGGTCCCTTCTATTTGGGTAATGTATCAACAACTTATGGAGATTCTGGAGCTGGTGTTTGGTCTCCAGACGGTCTTATTGGAATCAACTTGGGATTTGTTGGATTTCCAACTTACGATCAATATACAGCCACAGATGAGGCCGCTCATTATTCTGCTTCGAATTATTTTGTTGGTATTCGTCGAATTATGGATGCGCTGAAGGTATGACTTGAGATTTGAAAAGCTGGGTGGATAAAGTATTTGTGCGGATTAAAAAGGTTTTGGTGTTAGTAAGGGATAAGATGATTCTTTGGGATTAAGGGAATAAGGCGGTCTTGAGAAACTCAGATTAGGCAAAGGGAGCAAGCCAACGTATTTTTGATTTTGAGTCCCCTTTGTTCACTAAAATACTTGAAGCTGTCCTTCTGAGTTATTTGACTCTGTGGGAGATTTTGGGAGTTGACCTTTGGGGTGGATGCATTTGTGATTTTTTCAATGCCGTACCCTTATTCCTGCGCCGAATAAATTATAGAAAAAAATCCCCTTAACTCTCAAAAAAATTTTTGGTTCGGTTAACCGAAAAATATTGTATTGGTTTTTTTAACCGAAGGCTTCGGTTCAGTTTTTCGGTTCGGTTTCGTTTAACCGAAGAATTCATGAAACCGACAACTCTAGTCAGAAGCTATTTTCCTACGCTCAATTTTATTTTAGCTGGTCCTCTTAATTTAAATCGGCCGCCATTACACAAGCCTCTTTCTTGTAGCAATATAAGGCAGTTTCTATAATTTTTTCGCTTAGGAAAAATGGGCGTAACCTTTAAAATGGAAGGGGGTAGGGTAAGGATACAATCTTATAATTTTAATTTATTAGGCCATGGATCCAAGTACCAAAAAGAAACCTTATTTTACAATGCTTGATGTTTGAAAAATTGAAGAAAAATAAAGATGAAGAAAAATTTAAACTTTTTGTTTAATTTATTTGATTTTTAAAAATTTTCATAATTTTACTTGTTTAAAAGTATTTTTTTAAACTTTTGTTTAAATAAATTTTTGAGTGAATACTATAATTTTCATTTAATCGAATATTTTTTTCGTTTAACATATTTTTATCTTTAGAAACTTGTATTTTCTCTCTTAACATTATAGGGCATGTTTTGTTGTGTTTCAATTTTTATTTCAACTTAATGACGTACAATTGCTCCAATTGTGGGGAGAACTGCTGCGCAGTGTTTAGAAAGGTTTCTTTTGTATTATTTTAACGGTATTTTTTTCATTTTTTTAAAGATATGAATATCTTCTTGACGAAGCTCAACGTCGTGCTGAAGGTATTGAAGAGGATTCTCTAAAAGAGGCTAAGAAGCTAAAGCCCGGTGATGTTGATCCAACACCAGAAACTAAACCGGCTAGGCCTGATCCTATTGATATGGATGAAGATGGTATCTAATTTTGGTTTTATTTTGTATTTTTCCTAATGTGTCCTTATCTAAATTTCCGGACATTTACTTGGATTTGAGTTCTGATTTTCTACCTTATGCCCCCTTCCATACCTCAATACTTTTTGTTTATACCATCAAATTCGTTTTTGAGGACGATTGCCCGCCGAAATTTTCTCTAATTTTAACACCAACTTTCATTTAATTTTTCAGAATTGGAAGTGTTATCAGAAGCCCGAGCTAGTCTAGCCAACTCAAAGGAAAGAGAGCAAAACGCAGAGCTCGTGAAAAGCAATTAGGCGAGGCTCGAAGACTTGCTTCTTTACAAAAACGAAGAGAACTTCGGGCAGCTGGAATAATTATTGGATCTGGTTGGGCTTATAAAATGAAGAAGCACCGTCTAATGGATTATAATAATGAAATACCATTTGAGAAACAAGTCCCAGCAGGATTTCATGATCCAAGCGAAGATAAATTTGATAAGGCACAGAAAACGAGAGTTGAAGAAAAGAGACGAGATTAGCAGGAAAGGGATGACAGAAAGGCTGATAAGGACAAGCTGAAGAAAAGAAAGTTTGTTATTTTATATTTAAATCTTAAGGATAATTATTGCAAATTTTTTTTTAATTTTTTTCCCAATTTTCCTTTTGGGATAAAATGTCTCCTTAGTTTTGCTTTTACGTCCAGTGAGGCAGAAGAAAATAGGGTCATTCGGTTTTAATATATTTTTCTAAAATTTTTAGCCTAAAATTAATATTTTGCTTTTTTTAGAAACGAAGACTTGCCAGAATCAATATTTGGCGAGAAATATGAAAAGAAGCGAAGTAAACTTATTTTATCAGAGCCACAAATTTCTGATAAAGAATTGGAAGATATAATAAAAATTGGACATGTATCTGATTCTGTTAGAGAATTAGTTGATGATAATCCTTCTAGGTTTTCTTTTTGAAAAATTATTTTTTAAAAAATTAAAATTTATTTTTAAATCTCTTCTGCATGATTGTAACGAATCTGCACGAATGAATCCATTTTCTGCTAGAACACAAAGACTGCTGTTGGGGATGTTTATACAGTTGCTAGGGTATTTTTTTATTAAGCTTTTTTGAAAACCGATTCAGAATTCGGAACTTTAGCAGCCTAATTTTTCATTTTCCCCTATTTTTTTCTTGGTTTCTGGCAATTAGATCAATCAAGAGGCTCGGGGTTGAAAAGCTTCAGGGAAATGGTCCTACCATAAAGATGGAGGCCAGCAAGTTATTTTTAGTGAAGCAACTATCCAAAATTAATCCTTGGTTGATTTGTTTGGCAATGGTAAAACAAGAGAAAATTCACTAAAAGCCGCTGAGTTTCCCAAAATCTCTTTATAATTTTCCTTTTTTTAGGCAGCAGATGATTTATTAGCTCTTATAAACGTAGAAACACCACTTAAAGGAGGTCTCAACACTCCTCTTCACAATCACGACTTTAGCGCTCCGGGAAGTCAACGTCAACCAATCTCTACACCAAACACTGTTCTTTCTGTAATGGCAGCAACTCAAAAGAATGTTGGGTTTGGACGTTAGTTTTTTTTAAATTTTTATAATTTGTTTAAGAAATATTTTTTTTTAATATTTTAAAAAACCAAAAATAACAGACATTCCCTATTTATTAAAAACTTTTTAATAGTCTAATGATGTTTCCCAAAAATTTTTGTTCTCGAAAATTTTTTACTGTTTTTATGATTACTTTAAATCAACCGATTCAGATTCTCAATAATTATGTCCACTTTTTGTCATAATTTCTTTGCCTAATTAAAAATAATTGTTTTCCTCTTTTATTTTGAAATTTTGACAATTATAATTCTTAATTTTTTTATAGAAACTACTGAATCTCAACGAACATTAGCTTCTTCAACACCTGGCGGCGCTTCTACAACAACAACAGAAATGAATACACCATTTAGAGACCAATTAAATATAAACCCAATTTCTGACGAAACTAGACCTTCTAAAAAAGAATTACAACAACAATTCTATCAATTACCTAAACCTAAAAATGATTTTGAATTGACTGAAGTTGGGGATGAAGATGATGATTTTGGTGGAGAGGGAGGATTGAGAGAGGTTTTTTTGTTTTAAATTGGGAGAGTTAACAATCCTATAGGTATTGAAGAATTATTAAGATCATGTTCTGGGTTCAACAAAAAATAAATTATGGTGAGGGAGGATTGCAATATTTTTTGTGGATCTCTTTTTATGTTCCTAAAAAATCTTGTTGATTCTTCCTTAATTTTATTTTATTAGGATATTTTTAAAATCGTTTTTAGACCTATTAACAGTGTTTTTTTGGTTCCAAAGCATCACGGTTCCACGATCGTTATGATTCTGGATAGTTTTTGAGTCCTAAAAATACTGCCTATTTATGTATTTATTTGCTGATTTTATTTATAATTTTCTATACCTTATAGGATTGTTAATTCCTTAAAATTTTTTATACTAAAAATTTTTTTCTTAGGAATGGATTGAGGATGCCGCTAAACTTGAAAAGCGTCGTCAAGCAATAGCCGAAAAGAAGAAAGCACTTGAATTGGAAAAACGAACAAAAGCCTTTCAACGACAATTACCTCTTCCATCAAAATTAAATATTGAATATAAAAAGCGTGGGGCAGGTGGAACAGATTTACATAAGGTTTAAAAATATTATTTTTTAATAAAAATTATGAGGGGATTTTAGGTGAGTTTATCTGGTTCTAATTAGGTTAATTATAAAAATTGGACTGATTAAATTCTCGATTAAGGGGTTTTCTATCGATTAAACTCGGTCGGTATTCTTGGCCTGTCCTTAGTTCTCTAAACGTTTTTTTTTATTTTTTAAATTAATTTAATAAATTAAATAAATTCTGGGTCAGTTTTAATATTTGACTATTCAAAAACAATGAAAATTAGATAAATGTTAGAGGTCTTATCAAGCTCAGATTGACTTTGGAAACTTTTTGAAACTGTTTTATCTGGTTAACCCGTACTAATTTAGTTATAAAAATATTTTTAACGATCCAGTTAATTTTGTTGCACTAATTTGATTGTTAAATCCACAATATCTTAATGCTTCTTGTTTATGCCAGAAAATCGTTTTTGATGCCCGCCGAAATTTTCTCTAATTTTAACACCAACTTTCATTTAATTTTTCAGAATTGGAAGTGTTATCAGAAGCCCGAGCTAGTCTAGCCAACTCAAAGGAAAGAGAGCAAAACGCAGAGCTCGTGAAAAGCAATTAGGCGAGGCTCGAAGACTTGCTTCTTTACAAAAACGAAGAGAACTTCGGACTGCTGGAATAATTATTGGATCTGGTTGGGCTTATAAAATGAAGAAGCACCGTCTAATGGATTATAATAATGAAATACCTTTTGAAAAACAAGTCCCAGCAGGATTTCATGATCCAAGCGAGGATAAATTTGATAAGGCACAGAAAACGATGTTGAGAATTAGTTGATGATAATTTTTCTAGGTGTTCTTTATGAAAATTATTAAAAAAAAAAATATTTTTAAAGTTCTTTTCTACATGATATAACTAATCTGCAAGAATGAATGCATTTTCTGTTAGAACACAAATGGCTGCTGTTGGGAATGTTGATACTACTGTTGCTAAGGTTTTTTTGTTTAAATTTTTTCCGCAAAAGAACTTGAGGCCTTTCAACGACAATTACCTCTTCAAACTTAAATATTGGCCAGAATCTGGTCAACAAAATTACCAGATTTCAATTTTTAAACCAGACTGGACGTCTGGTTGTTGATGTATTTAAGATTTATTTTTAAATTGCAATTGTCTAAGCGGTACCCTTTATTTAGGATAACCTCATAGGGTAATTTATTGCAGCCCTAAAGGGGTATACTTAAAAATGAGGGTTAACTTTATTTTTATATTTTTCCAGGCGGATGATCTAATAAAATCCGAAATAAAAAGAACCTCCTCCAAAACAAATTTATTCAAAAGAAGCAATGGAATTAGACAAGAAAATGATTGATATTGATGCAACTAAAATGGCTGAAACTGAGGATATTGAATTAAAATTGGATAGTCAAATGTGGCAGTCAATTTCAGATTTTTTTGGATGACTCATGCAACTTTAATGGGGGGGGGTCAAGAATTGAAAAAGCTTCAAATGAGTTGAGGGACTAAAATAGCGGGACTGGAGTGTCCTGTTTTGTAATTCCATTACTAAGTAAAAAGAATGTGTAGAGAGAGGAGGGTGAGACAGAAATATACATATATTTAACTCTTGTCATTAATGGCGGCACGCGTCAGTTGAAATTATTCAGATGGGTTTGTTCCATTTTGAGGATTTCAAGGATCAAATCGACAAGTACCGCTAATGATAGCACTGCAAGAACGGCTCGTTCAATTTCTGGTCGGGGTGCTGCTGCTCGTAAAAGTATAGGTCCAACTGTGAGTACCAACAGTGCTATCAGCGCAAGGCAGCCGACTTTCATCTTTGAGAAGTTTTTGGAGAAGCATTTGTGTTATACAAAGAAACGGGTTTGGGACTTCTTTCTCTTATCATTCCAAAAATCTCTTTTTTCAGATTGTTTATCATCCTAGCGAGATAACAACACTTTGTTTGGCAGCTGAGAATACATTCAAAAAACATTACAAAGACGAGTTTTGTGTTGTAAAAATCAAACGTTTACCACTATACATAATTGGTGACATCCACGGTAATTGGCGTCAACTTTTGCGAATATTCAATGTGTTGGGGTTGCCTGGCGATAAGGCTTATCTGTTTCTTGGGGGTGAGCATTTTAGTTGGGTTTAGTGAACTGAGTCCACCCCTGAAGACCTACACATTTTGATCAACACAGTTTATGTTCGTAGGGATTAAAGGAGTTAATGACGGATTTGGCAGTATAAGGGGATACTGGTGGATTTGGAGGGAGACCTTTAAAAAGGAAAGGAGGCGGACTCTTTTCCTTTAAAAAGGAAAGGAGGCGGGGACTTCCTAGAATTTATAAGCGCTTGCCTTTTACATTTTTAAATCTTAACATCATTTCAATTTTTTCTCTTTTTAAGATGCCAACAGAGGAAGAAATAAAGAAGTCGATGCAGGACTGACTGTGTTAAGAATAAGAATGATGTATGAGGATTAAAAATATATAAATAATAAATCAGAATTTAGTCAAATCTAATTTCAGTCAAATCTAACCAACTGTGACTAGCAACAGTACTATGAGCGCGAGCAGCCGACTTTCATCGTTGAAAAGTTTTTTGAGAAGCATTTGTGTTATACAAAGAAACGGTTTGGGACTTCTTTCTCTATTTTTTTTTAAAATCTATTTTTGCAGATTGTTTATCATCCTAGCGAGATAACAACACTTTGTTTGGCTGCTGAGAATACATCCAAAAAACATTACAAAGACGAGTTTTGTGTTGTAAAAATCAAACGTTTACCGCTATACATAATTGGCGACATCCACGGTAATTGGCGTCAACTTTTGCGAATATTCAATGTGTTGGGGTTGCCTGGCGATAAGGCTTATCTGTTTCTTGAAGGTTAGCATTTTTTATTGAATCTAGTGATCTTCTGATTGTTTTTTTACACTATGTAGATCGCGGTCTACGCTCTCTGGAGTTGATTGTTTGTTGATTTTTTGAAGATTAAGTACCCAAATAGTCAAGATCTGTAACTTAAGTTTAAGCAAATATAAAAATATTTTTTGGAAAAAGGAGGAAAAAAGATTAAGATAGGGGGAAAGTACCAACTTTTATTTTTTAGATATTAATTGTTGGCCTTTACAACGGTGACTTTTATTGCTTTCAACATTTGAGGGAAATGTGGGCAAAGTTTTATGGAATGGCGGCGGTCCAACAGCAGGCTTGCACTCAAGGGCTATTACGCAATTTCATTGGCTAGATGAACATAAAGGAATACTTAATAGTGTTGGATTGGATGGAAAAGTAATTAAAAGCAGGTTTAATTTTAAAAAAATATTTATATCTTTAAGACCCCTCTGTTGTATTTTTATATTTTTTCTCCCCACTTATCTCCTCTGATTTATTTCAATTTGTTTTGAGCTCTTTTGTTCTGCAATCCTATTTTTTTTTCACGTTTTAAGTCCTCGTCTCGTTGGGATTCTGCTTTTACTTTAGTGACCAATCGTTAAATAACTTAAAATCCTAAACGCCAGATTTCTATGTCTTGAATTATTTTATAAATTTTTATTTTAATCTCCAAAAAATTAAGATTTGAACCAAAAAATCAATTGGAATTATTGGAAAGTATTCAAATAATCCTTTCTGATTTACCTAAACATTTATATCGAGAATCAACAACAACAAATCGAAGTGTTCTTTTTCAGATTGTTTATCACCCTAGCGAGATAACGACGCTTTGTTTGGCTGCTGAGAATGCATTCAAAAAACATTACAAAGACGAGTCTTTCGTTGTTTACTGATTTGTTTGAATTACTCAAATAAGGCAAGATTTTATCCTTTGATTAAAAGAGCAGTATAAATAACCTTTCAATAAATTTTTTTCGATTGACTTGTCTTATTTTCACTTTCAATTTCAGCTTTTAAAAATTTATTTCAATTATTTTCCAATATGCACAGAGTATGCAAAATTGGGTTCATTGTTATTGTTACATTCATTCTTCTAATTAGATTTATTTTTAAGGTAATAAATGTTTGGTGCAACCGTCAAAGAACAATTTATCGTTTTGGATGAGTTCTTGTGGTCACATTTTTTGTAAAAATTGTATTGATTCTGAAATAAATGGATGTAATTTATCAGGTTTGAATTTAAAAGCTAAGCGAAAAAGTGGTTCTTTGAGTCATATAATGAGATATATGATTGTTGTTTGTGATCACTGTACCTTTTTCTTAAACTTGCTTTTTTGTGATACGTGATTAGTTCAAAAATCTAAATTCGCTGCTTTAACGAGTTTTTACATGACGCGCCAAACGCTTATTTTTAAAGAATTTGGCCTGTCGATTCCCTCCCCTTTTTTACCATAAATGTTTTTTTAAGTTAAGAAAATTTAAAAGTGTATAAAAATTTTATTTTTTAAGAAGTAAATACGACCTCTGTCAACTTTCAGCAATGTTTTGTTTGTAATAGAGGTGCTTATTCAAATTATTGCCTGATAATTTTACTAATCCAGGACGACTGAATATTTTTGCTGATTGAAAATGCTAAATTGGTTTTTTAAACTCAAGTCGTATATTTAATTTTTGATTTATGTTTATTTTTTGTTTTGCAGGCATGGAATGTTATTTTTAACCAATTTTAAAATGAATTTATATGGTTTAGGTATCTTTCGATGATTTAATCTATTTCTTCACTGACCTTTTTCTTCATCTTCAGTTGAATTGATTGGTGGGCAAGAAGGAGAAGTTAAAGAAAAAGGATGGAAAAGGAAAAAAAGGGCGTGGCTAAAAAAGGTTACCTAACCCATATAAGTTCCTTTAAAGTTATATTTTGTACAATTAAATGAAAAAGTTAGGGTTAATAATGACTTTAATATCTAGTATTTTATTCATTTTTTTTATTTAAATTAAAATCTTTATACTTTTTAAATTTATCATTAAAACGTTAAATTATACATTTCCTACCTTACTAATTTTTACATAAAATAATTTTTAGATTTATTTTTAGAAATTAGTTTCAATTTTAAAAATGTCGCGACAGGTTATCTTTTAAATAATGATTATATTTCAATAATTGCAACTCCTTTTTTTAGTTTATTGAAGTGTCCGGTTCAAATTGTACTTTTACAGTGGGACTTACATCAGCAGGGACGTTGCAATTAGAAGTTTTACAAGGTTTATTCTCAGCTGATGCGTGCGGGTTGAAATATTTGAATGAAAATGCTTCTTTAAATAATGATGAACCGTCTACTATTTTTGTTTTGTATGTTTCTTTTTGGCTAAACTACTTTCCGTACTTGGTATAGAATTTCGATACCAGAATTTCGGTTGGGACGACACTATGGGCCGAAATACAGACCCCTAAATATTGAAAATCCGTAGGGGGTGTAAGCTCATTTTGGGGTAAAAAATTTGAATTTTCCAGCGAATATTCTATTGGCCCTTTATCTCGGCCCATATATGTGTCCGCGGACTTTTAGTGTCATTCGACTCAGCTCGGTGAGCTTTTATGATTGACATAAATTGTCCATTTTTGAGCCAAGTACGGAAAGTTTAGTTTGGGTTTTCTTTTTTTTGAAATTCCATTTCTTTTTAGTTTTGATGAGTTTAGTCAATGCTTTATTGAGCCACTAGGTGGCTGGGCCAACAAGAAATTTGAAGTTGTTTATCGTTCTGATGGTTAGTTTTTTATTTTTCATTTATTAACTTTCTAAATTATTGCTATTATAGGTTTGGACAAGAACAAGCAACTTCGTGGTTAGTGTTTTTAGCATCTCCAGGATGACCCTTTCCAAAGCACAAAAATAAAGCGCGTTCACTCAAAAGTAAAATAGGGCGAAATCGGTCAAAAATATGGCATTCTAAAAATTGAAATTAATTAAGCATATTTTTAACTAGCTTTAACTCAATGAACAAATCCGATTAGGCTGTTTCTAAATAAAAAAATGTTCAAGTCCTAAACTAAAAAATTATTAAGATTGAAAAGAATTTCAAAACTGACAAAAGTAACCTCAGAAATTTAAGCAGTAGTCGAACCTATAAGTATGATATCCGAATTCAGAACCGAAAGTTCTTGGTAATTCTTCTTTTTTCTTCCTCAAAGTATTGAAAAATGGTCAGTCAGTCTTATGTTATAGAACTCGTCGAGCTGTGGCGAATGACACCAAAATTAACCCCCGGTCTTAACTTTGGGCCGAGATACAGTCAAAAGACCTGCGTAAAGCGATGGTTTAGCAAAAGCGTCACACCGACTACAATAGGATTACTTTATGTCATAACTTCGTCAAATCTTGTTCAATTACGTTTATTTCGATGTCATTCGAATCAGCTCGACAAGCCCTTTCGAATGAGCTATTATTTGATTAATCGAATTTTTAGCCCAAAAAATGAGCTTGGTCCACCCTTTATTTTTCAATCTTCGGGGATCTGTATCTCGGCCTAAAGTTAAGACCGGTGGTTAATTTTAGTGTCATTCGACACAGCTCGACGAGTTCTATGACATAACACTGACTGAGCATTTTTTAATACTTTGAGAAAGGAAAAAAGGGGGGGGGGGGGTACGAACGCAAGAATTACCAAATTCCTTGTCTTACGCCAACCACTAATAAGCCGGTATTTTTTCAGCGGCGCAGTCGAAATTTTTTAAAATTTTGAAGGCCAAGAAGCCAAAAATCCTCTTAAAAATATTACAACAAATTAAAAATAGGGAAAAATATGGCAAATGTGTAAAATCAGGAAAAACTGGTGAAAAGGTCAAAAAAGGTGTAAATAAGGGTAAAGGGACCCTGAGTATCACTCCTCCGAACCTTAAAATTTTTAACAATGAAAATTTTTTAAGTTTTACCAACCTCTGATAAAATAACAAAATATTTATTCCACATACCAATGACAAAGTCTTGTGTATTGGCGGTGACACCTAACTATTTGACTACTTTTTCCCACGGACGACATAATACTTTTAAAATTGGTGAACAGCTCCTAGTTTATAACGATAATTACAAATATGAAACAACAATTGAATTTATCTCAAAAAAATACGATTTTGTATTGTTAAAATCTGAAAATAAATGTATTGAAGAAGGGCCACCAATCGACTATGTGCATTCTACTGGTTCTGAAATATGTTTAATTGGATTTCAAAGTGATTTTGAACACCTTTCAACCAAAAAAGGAAAAATTTTTTCTGACGAAATGGAAACTTTTAAAGGTCGAGCAATTTAAAATATACTACAAAATTATAGTTTTAATTCAAAATTTAGTTGGATCAGATGATGTAGGACCTTTCTTAATCGGTACCATTTCTCCATCAAGTTGTGATGATGGTGCAGGTGTTTGGAGCGCTGATGGATTAGTCGGTTTAAATCTTGGAGCTGTTACATGTCATGGAGATGCTGGGAACTCAACAATGAATATGATGGTGGTTATGGAGGATGTTTTGTTCGAGATCAAAGTATTTTTTTAATATTAAAAATATTACTAAGAATCACTGCTTACCCGAATGGTATCAAAAAAAAAGTTTTAAATTCTTATTTTCTTTAAAATCAATTATATATAATATCTTTTTATAGAAATTGGAGGCAAAATCCAAATTGAAAGAAAAGAAGCCTGCTTTCGTCATCAAGGAGGATAATGTTGTAAAGTACAAAAGTGTTTAAATTGAATTTTTTTGATTTTTAAAAAATCTTCACTTTTCTTTTTGATTTTTAAAAAATCATCACTTTTTTTTAAAAAAATAAATTTTGATTGCTTTAAAAGTATTTTTTGATATCGGTTATGTTCTGATTACTTTTATATTTCAATTTTTGCTTTTTATATATCTTCACAAATTACAATTTTATTTTCAAATTCAAATAGAGAAGGAGATTAGCAGGAAAGGGATGACAGAAAGGCTGATAAGGACAAGC